GGCAAAGGAAGCTAGAATCAATACACTAAAAAGATACACAATAAGCTAGGGCAGCTAGGTATAGAAGCAACCTAGCTAAGTGCTACAAAAGAGGTCTAGATAAGATAATAGGTTCACATTTAGGGCCTTACTAGCATAAGAGAGTTACTAGCAACTAGGGAGACTAAGATACCTTAACATTATAGGAAAGGAAGTAGGGCAGATAAAGCTTAGTTAAATATTAGTCTAAAGTAAGGGAAGACTAAAGGAAAACTTATAGGGAAACGATATAGATAAAACCTAATAAACATTGCAACATTACTAAACATTATACAGTACAATATTAACAAGAGTAAAGACAAGGTATAGAGGAGCTTCCTTTAAGCACTAAACCTAAAAGAACATTATATTATTGCAATCTAAGAGCCCTAGCTCAACTTATATATAAAGAGACTAGTAACAGTTAAAGACCTAAGATACTACCTAATTATCTATAACTAGGGAGCCCTAAGGACATACATCTATATTAGCAAGGAGATAGATACAGAAACCTAGCAGGCTATACTATAGGAGGATAGAGACCTAATATCAGTTTAAGTAGAGACATCCTAAGGTATACTCTAAGTCTACTATATATATAACCTACTACTAGACTTAAGAAGCAGTACCTAACTAAAAACCCTAGAAAGACTGCTTAGAGTTATCTAGGGGAACACCTACTAAATCCTACTTAGGGATTTCAACCTCTACTATCCCCTCTAGGGCTTAGACTTTACCCTAGCTTACTACTTCCTAGTAGGAAGACTAATTGATATATTAGAGAGGGAAGGAATAGAAATTGTTACCCTAAAGGGACTAATTACTTAGGAGGCAAGAGGAAGTAGTAGCATACTAGATCTATACTTTGTATTACATTAGATTAGGAACAGGATTACAAGATATAGGGTTAACTAGGAACTAGAAGAATTATTAGACTACTTCCCGGTATAGATTAAACTAAATATCTAAGCCAATTAGGAAAGGGAACTAGAGAAGAAGCTTAACTAGAAAGGCGCCTAATAGAATAGGATTAGGGAGGAACTAGAAAGAGACCTAAAACTAGAGGAACTCTTAACAAAGCACCTACTAAGGCTAGAGGACATTAACAAGGCAGTAGAAGAACTAATAGGAATCCTAAAACAGGTAGCTAGAAAGCATACCCTAGCAAAGAAACATTCACTATACTAGCAACTATACTAGACTAGTAAGTATATAAGGAAGGTTAAAGCAGTAAGGAAGGCTAGGAGGCAGTAAATATAAACCTACACCTAGGAAGCATAGGACAACTATAACAAAGCCTGCTAGGAAAAGAAGATCTAGATTAAGAAAGACAAGATATAAGAATAGAGATCTATAATAGGAATAATTATAAAGAAACTAGAGGAGATATAGAGGATAGCTAAATAGGTAAGGAGACCTAAATAGGACAAGGACATACTACTACAATTCCCGGATATTATAGACTAATAAGGACAAATGTAGACTATAATAGAAGGGAAAGTAAGAGCCCTAGGCTAACACTTCTTCTATAGAAAAGTACAAGTAGACCTATTAGACATAAAGGAGAAGGAATAAGAGACTCTACTACTAGGTACACTAAGAGACACCTAGGTTAAACCTAAAACTATTAAAAGGATCCTAAAGAAAATTCTAGGCAATAAGGTACTAAGAGAAGACAAGATCTATAACAAACTTCTAAAAGTATATAGGAAGGAGCTAGCCCTAGCACTAGCCAATATCTTTTTATAAAGCCTAGCACTAGGATACTACCTAAGACTATTTAGGAAGTCCCTAATAGTAGTACTAAGGAAGCCCTAGAAGGAAGACTATATATAGCTTAAGGCCTATAGACTAATAGCCCTACTTAACACAATAGGCAAGGTACTAGAAAAAATAGTCGCTAAAAGGCTAACAACCTTTACCGAGGAAAGGAATATCCTTCTTAAAGGCTAGATAGGAGGGAGAAAGAAGAGGTTAATACTAATAGCTATAGAACTAATTACAGAACAGATTAAGCACATCTAGCACTATAGTTAAAACTAGGTAGCAACCCTCCTCTCCCTTAACATCTTAGGAGCCTTTAACAATATCTCCTATAAAAGGCTCCTATACGTACTTAAATAGAAAGCTATACTAAACTAGATAGTCCAATTCATCTAGTCCTTCCTATAGGAAAGATTAATACAGCTTATTCTAGGCAAATTCAAATCAGACCTAATGCTAACTAAAAAGGGAATCCCCTAAGGATCGATACTCTCCCTAATCCTCTTCCTTATCTTTATAGTAGACCTGCTCCTACTCCTAGAATTAAAAAACATATCAGTATCAGGATTTGTAGATGATATAAACATCCTAGCCTAGTCTAAGACAATAGAGACCAACTGCAAGATCCTAGAAGAAAAGTACCGGGAGTATAAAAAATAGGTAAGGAGGTATAGAGCAAAATTCGCCCTAGAAAAGTACTAGCTTATCTACTTTAGTAAGGCTAAATTAACCTATAACATAAAGCAATTAATCACTATTTAAGGCTTTAAAACCCAACTATTAGTAGAGCTTAGGGTACTAGGGATCTAGCTAGATCCAAAACTGAATTAGGGACTATAAGTAAAGAAGGCAAAGTAGAGGGCAGATGCTAATATGCAATCTATTAATAGGCTTATAGCCTCTATATAGGGGGCTATATTCGAGAAAGCTAAAGTCATATATAAAGCAATTATCAAGCTAGCAATACTATATAGAGTACAGATATAGACAGCCTAGGAGAAAACACTAAAGAGGATTAAGCAACTAGTTAGTAGGTCCTAAACCTAAAGCCTAAAGAAAATCCTAGGAGCATATAAAACTATACTAATAAGGGTAGTAGAAATAGAATTAGGGATCCCACTAGTTAAACAATACTTCAAGGGACTAAGACACTAATATACAGTAAAGACAATAGAATACCTAGCCTAATAGACTATCTAAAAGGCACTAGATAAGATAAAAGCCTAGTGCACTAGGACTAGGAGGCGAGATAGACTATAAATAACTCCCTAGAAAGTCAAAGACCTAGAGCAATATAGAGTCTTAATAAGAGAAATGCTAGAGAAAGAGCTTTAGGGACCAAACATAAGGCTAAAGGAAAACAAGCTAAAGGGAGAGAAACAAAGCCTAGCAGAATCAATTGCTAGATACCTATAGGAGCAGGAATAGAATAAAACACAAGTTAGACTAGGAACCCCAAAGGCACTAATCAAATTTAGTTAATATAACTACTAGCTCTATAAGGACCTAAATAGGGCCGAGGTAAGCCTAGCTATCTAAATTAGATCTGAATACATCGGACTTAGATCTTACCTATTTAGAAGAAACGTCCTAGGAATTGAAAGCAGAGCTTACTAATATAGCTACCAATCTTAGAACCCTAAGCATATACTACTAGTCTACCCTTAATAGTTAGAAGGTAGAAGTAATTAGAGACTAAAAGCAATAGAAAGGGAATACGATAAGCTTATCTAGAGCAAAGACGACCTAAAGAGGATAATAAAGTAGATTATTAAATAGGGATTTGTATAACAATTCGTACTAGCAAGGGAAACTAAGGAGTAGATAAGAAGGAGGGAAGAAGAGGGGGAAAGAAGGGTAGGGCAGTAGGCAAGGCAGTTAGAGGGTAACAACCACAACACTAGTATACCCTAGAGGAAGGAAAATAAGGAAACGAGGAAGGTTAACACTTATAAATAGAACAGGAGGGAGGTTTTCACTAACTAAGTCGGTTTCCTACCTAAAACAATATATAGAAACAGACCTACATAGGCCGAAAGGCACTACAATAGGCAAATGAAATATCTATCTATCTATCTATATAATACCCTTTAGACTCTAGCTATACTTCCGCTAACCTGTCTTCTAATTGCTAGTAGTCTCGTCGATAAATACTAGTCGATCTACCGGCTATTTAGCGTACCTAATCGTCTATAGAGCCCTTAAGAACGGGTTACGTTCCTTCGCCGCCTACTTTACCTCCTTTCGAGTATACCCGTACCTTTTTAATACTATACCGATTAGAGACGGCCGAAGCTCTACTATACTCTTTCTACCCTTATTTACTAGCCGTAGCTGTACAAATTCGTCTTAAAGAGCTTAGATTATCTCTATAAAGTATACGTCCGGTCGATCGTCGAGATACCTAAGTATAAACTCCTCTTCTATAGCGAGAAGTTAGAGGTTCTTATAGCTACGCCGAGTACTAGTATTCTTTAGATATAACGCTCTAGTTATGCGATATCTCTCTTAATAGCGATACACTAATCTAACTAATATTAGAAGCTTTGCAAAGGCATATATCTGCTTAGCAGTAAAGCCCTTCTTAAAGAGATTAATTAGTTAGCCTTACTAGTCGTCGTTAATGTGCGCTTTCTTTACTATAGCGGACGATAATAATACCTCGGAAGGGTCTATACTACTAGAAAACCGTCGACACGATATCTACTATATATTAGAGGACTATAGGCCTCAGAAGGAGAACAAATAATTCAAAAACCACCAAAATAGCGGTGTGGTTCCTCTCTCGGAGGTACAGGGTTCTCCCCGCACCGGCACTGACAAGTTGGACTCAGCACATAGTATGCAACCTTGACGTGACGGACCAACAAGTACAGAAAGAGTACCCTTTGAACTGCATGGCTCCTGTTCCAAGTCTTTATAATAAGCCGCTGGGACCTACGAGGCGGTTCGTCTCCCGTGGCGATCGGTGGTGAGGAGTCTCCGCATCTTCATCTCCTCCGTCTTCAGGATTCATGAATACACTACCTTCAACACCATCCCGAGCGACCATTGTTCCACGAAATTCGTCTGTTGTAGAAGTACCGCTGCATGTTCCGGTCGAACATAGCAACAAGTGAGGGCAGGAAAAGTCTTCTGTGTTCGTTCAACTTGCACCCCGTGAGAAAGAAAAAGGCCAAAGAATTTCGCTCGTTCACTGCCCAGAACTCCCTCTATCTCTAATAAATATACCGAAAATTCATATTCTCCCGATCCGTCAAATCATTAAACGCCGTAGCATCAAGATCCCTCCCTTCCAAACCTCCTTCCTGCAAACTTTGAATCCTATCCCGTCTCGCGTTCTCTCTACTCAACATGACTCGCAAAACGACAACGATACTGAATTCAAGAAGATGACTAACGATCATCGACCAAATCCCCAGCTCATACCTCGGACTCTGATCCGTTTTGTAGAAAAATGGTCCAGCTGTATATACCCAAGACACCGCATCAGCCAAAATCCATCCATCAAAGAAGAGACGGACAAATGAGTGTGAACTTGAAACTTACCAATATTCCCCGTACAATACCCAAGAAACAACACCCCATTCGTCAAAACCTTCTTCGTATGCCCAGCCGTGTTCGCCGTCGTCAAGGATAAAATCATACAGAAAGCCGCATTATACGGTCCCGTAAGATAATAACACGCCAATCTCCCTCCTCGATGACTCTGTGGTAAGAATCTCAAACCAAAAGCTCCGGCGATGTTTGGCAGGAGGAATAATAAGATGAAATAACATCTCGTTTGTCTTCCTTTTCGCGACATGTAATCGTTCAAATACACGCAGACCAGAATGCTAACCGCGATGATGAAACCGTAAGGGATTTGCATAAGTGTAGTGACGAGAGTCGAGAAGCCAAAACCTTTGATGATAATAGTTCCGAAATTCGAGATTCCGCCGTTGGGGATATTGCAGACCATACCGAGGAGGAAGAAGAGGTAGAGTTTGGGATCGAGGAACGTTTCGCGGACTTGGTACCATTTGAAATGTTTGTTTTCGATGCCAGTTTGGTCGTTTCGCATGCGCTCGACTGCGATGCGTTTTTCTCGTTGTGAGAGGCCTTTGGCTGTGACGGGACTGTCGGGGAGGAAGATGAACATGACGATGCCCCAGACGCAGCAGAGGGCGCCGATGATTATGAATTCGTATTTCCAGGATGGGAGGGAGCCTTTGATGTTGCCGATTCCGAAGCCGAGGAGACCGCCTAGAGCGATGCCGAAGCCGTTGGCGGTGTACCAGAGGCCCATGCGGATGGGTTGTTGGCGACGAGTGTACCACATGGCGGTCACGAGCATGAATGCTGGGTCTGAACAGGCTTCTGCGGCGCCAGCGAAGGCTCGCAGCACGGCAAGTGAAGCGAAGTTCTTGGCTACTGCCTGCAGCATCAGGAAGAAACCCCATAGGAAGATATTGAATCCGAGGTATTTGCCCACTGGGAGTCTTTGTAGAAGCAAATTCGTGGGTAATGCCCAGGCCAAGAATCCGAAGTAGAAGATACTACTCAACCACGAGTATTGCGTTCCAACGAGATGGAGATCTTCTCGAATACCGAAGATTGCTGCGTACGACAGTGTGGTCTTGTCGATGTAGAAGAAGGCGTAGCAGACGGCGAGGTAAGGAAGAATCATGAAGTCGATCTTGCGCACGAGTTTCTTCTCTTCGTCAGGATCGATGGGCTCGTGGAGTTCGCTCGGCGAGTTGAACAGAGCCATGGCGGCATCGGCGTCGCCAGACTTTGGAGCTTTCCATTTCGGTGCTTGATCCTCTCCTATGGAACCGGTTTCAGTGTGTACGGTCTCGATATCTTTTGCTGCACCATCCACCCGCTCTGGCGATGCAGAGCTAGAGCTTGCGACAATCTCTTCTTGCGTGCCAGCATTGGCATTGCTTCTCTTGAATATCCCCATGTCCAGATTCCTAGGCGCCGCCACCCAAGCTCATCAGCAGTAGAACCAGTATTCTGGAGGTCAAAAGAAGTGCGAGGTCTTGAAAGAATGTAAGCTTTTGCCACGAGGGATACTGACCTTCGGAAAAGGTTTACAGCGAGATTGGCCGACGCGCACAAGGCCACCTTTTCCGCGTGTAGTCATGCTGTCGACTTGTCATGTGAGCTGCCCCAGACAGTAGCATTGCACCCCCAAATCAACCCCGCATCCCACCTCTACTCCACAGAAGATGGCGTTCAAGAGGCAGAAGATCGACAGGAACAGAAATTTATCGGGATTCGTCGGAACATCGTCAACATGCTTCTTCATCAGTTGCTCTCTCATTTGCATTTTGTAGTACAGTGTAGCCAGCCGTAGTGTCTCATACACTCATCGGTAACAATAATTTTCACGCATTCACATGTGTCGCGGGTCTCGTCAAATTCCTCATAAATCGAAGTAGATGGACAAGAAGAAAGAAAAGAATAGCAGCATATGATGGGCGTACCCATAACCGCCGCATCTCGTATTCGCCTCGGCCCAGGACAAGCGTGCAAGAAAGTCCGCCAGCAATCTGTGGACATCGCCGAGGTCCTTTGTGTTGTTGATGGGCCTGGCATCGCCAGAGAGGAACGTGATGCTGGAACAGGCTTGTGATGAAGAAGCTCCACGGCGGAAATGAGTGCAAGTTCAGAGGCGCCGCCAAGATCGAAAGAGCCGCGAGGGACTCCTCACTAATGCCGTCTATTACCGTCCATCACATCCGACAACCGATGCCAAGGGTGCAGCTGAGACTTGAGATGATCAGAGCCAGGGCTGGTTGACCAGGAAGTTCTGACAGACTTCTCCTTGCCTGAGATCCCTCGAGTCGTTTCATCACGCCGTCTTCGATCGTCGTTCGAGTCAATTCGAATAAAAAGCGTTCCAGGGCCATCGTCCAGCTCCGCATGATATCTTCGGCATCTGCGATACCGATGGCCGTGGTGCAGGACCAATATGCTAAGATCATGGTTCAACCTCGCCGCTTTGTGTCAGGATACTGGCTATACGCCGAGGTATCCACACTGGCCTCCCGATATCGTTTTTGGCCATGTCCAGAGACGTATGCGTTCGTAAAAGCGTCTTGCCACATCACCGGAGTGACCATCGGCATTGCAGGCGGTGTAGTGTCAGGCATGACAGCAGGGCTTGCGTTCACCGGTACCTGTTGTGGTCCGTACATGCCTTGAGCGTTGATTGGCGAGGTCTGGTTGGGTAGCATTGGCGCTGATGTAGGCTGCATGCTGCGAGGATCGGGAGGTGTAGCTTGAGGCGGCGGACTTCCTCCAAAGGCTGCGTTCCACTGGTTGAAGATGCCAGAAGGATCCCAGACTGGAGTATGCTGTTCGTTACTGATGACCGGTTCCAAAGCGTATCCAGTCTGAGGCGTAGATACTTGATGCAGATGTGGTGCGTACGTCGACTGCTGCGCCATCTCATAGCTGCTACTGTGGTGAGGCAGTTGCGGTGCAGAGCCCATGCCATTACCTGCGACGCTGTCATAAGGCACGCCGTACCCTTCGGTTGGGTCCATGCTCTTTGTAGATGCAGTGTCTGCCATGTTCCATGCAGGCGTGGTCAAGAGTTGTGGGGCGCTCGGCCCGGATGTTGTACTGGAGGGTGTAGGATGGCTCTGCATGGTGGGACTGCGTAGGCCGAGCGTAGCCTTCAGCTCGAAAGGCTGACTGATGTCCGCACTAAATGCTTCACGCAAAGCGTTGATCTGGGCTTGCATTTCCGCGTTAGCTGAGGGTATGCAATGCTCCAGGACCCGCATGTGTCTGGTGAAGTAAATTCTCGCCTGTGTGTTTAGCACAGGATCTGGACATGTAATCGCTGCCTGTCGCATCATTAGCTTGAGCAGGTAAACCAGAATCCAGGGTTATGTTGTGCTCACCAAGTGAAGCATCATGCAAGTCAGGACGCAGTAAATCGTAAAGTTGACGCCTCGATTCATGAACTGCAGGCCGTGGAAGCCAAAATCGCGATACAAGGCCTCTTGCACGCGACACATCTGGGACGCGCTCGAAAGACAAATGTCCAGCAGGTCTTTCCAGCCCATATCGCCCTTCTCAAGTCGTGCTTGCAGTTGTGGTCGATGGTGCATGATGATCACGAGATGGTGGTAGACATGGATATTAGCCACATAGTGGTCGCCTCCCAGCCAAGGAGGGCTTCCATCTTCTGGATATTGAAGCTGGAAATCACTCGGAATGGTCTTCAGCCATTGCGGCAGGTCTTCGTTATGCCGCACAAAGTCCGGATCGAGGGCCCAATCCTTGTTGTGTCGTTTCCTGTCTTGCCAAATGTTGTTCGATTCCTTGATGTTCCTTACGGCCTGCGCAAAGATGGTGGTCCGCCTGGAAGACATGTGCTCAAAAGCGTTGACTTCGTTAGAAGGTAGGGGTAAGTCGTAGGTTACCGATCCAATGTCCACCTGGAAGTCACTCCTGCCCAGCGGAGCACCCACCAGGATTTCGTGCATGAATAGCGTCTGCCATATTCGTGTCCTCAACATGCATTCAGTCTTGGGCAAAGAACATCCATTTCCGCTCGCGTGTTGATCGTGATGTTCATGCAAGTCAAGATCAATGGCCATCGTCACCATGTATCTGACAGTCATCCATGAACGATAGTAATAACCTCGCTTGGCGATGCTTTCTCGCGCTTTCATCAGAATTACCAATGCCTGTATGGTGTCGAGTCGTGGGACGTCTTTGAAGCTCTCTTCGTGTCTCGCAGCAAGAGCCAGCCACTTTCGCGATTCAATGGGATCTTCGAGATACCTCGCGACACAAGCAAATATAGCCTCAAGCAGGAGCGGCGAAATGCTTTTTCTGTTGGTGCGCCATTGTTCGTAGAATTGGGCTCGATTCAGCACAGCGCAGTAGGGATGAATATGATCAAAGTAGTAGCCGAAGTAGACCATCGCTCGGTCATCTGAGGGCATCATTTCCGGAGGAATGCGCACCATGGAATCCGTCATGACGGAGGCAGGGAGGATGACTTCTGCCTCTTCGACTGCTGGAGCATCTGATGCCAGATGTTTCTTAGTAATATAAGGTGCTGCTGAGGTGATGTCAATTTTGAGGTCTCCCATGTGCTCAGAAAGCTCGCGCACTCCTGCCTCGATATCTTGCGGATCACCGCTCGAGCTGCGCGAATCTTCGGTCTGCGAGCGCACGAAAGTCGACTGGTGCGGAGCTTGTTGATAGTGAGCAGGCGGAGGAGGAGCGCCGGGAAAGTAGTCCTCTCGAGGATAGTTCGGGCCTATGGAATGTGCTCCAGGAGTCTGCTGGTATGCCGGGCGGGGAGGAGCATAGGAGGTGGGTGTGTAGTCATGCTGAAATGATGGTGCGGACGTTGGCGCAGTCGTGGGGATTGGCGGAGGTGCGTTGTTCGTCCATTGCACCATGTGTGGCTGCGACGAAGCGGCATTGGCGTGGGGGCCTGATTTGGTCGTGTCTAGCGGAGTGGCCACAGAAAAGGGGGTGTTTTGAAATGAGAATGTCTGCTGGGCTGCAGCAGCGTCGGCGGACTGCTGCTGGTCGCTGTCGTGGTCCAGCGTGGGCGGGATGCACTTGAGCTTGAGTCGGACGCAGGCGCCACATGGCCACGGACCGTTCTGCAGCGCTCCATCGCAGCGGATTTTACGTTTGCGACAACCATCGCAGGCGCGCATCACCTTCAGGCGCTTGTGGCGGTTGTACTCGTCGACGAAGACATACTGCTTGGTATGGGGGGTGGGGGTGGGGGTGGGGGTGGTGGTGGTGGTGGTGGGCGCAGGCGGCGCGTTCGTCGCGCGCTCCATCCGGGCGGACGAGCAGCTGGACACGCTCGCTGATGTTACGTGACGAGAAGCCAGAAGGCCAAGGTGGATATTCTATGACCAAAGTCATCGGAGGTAATGGACGTCACCAAGGCTAGGGTGCGCTATGGCGACAGGCATTCTAGACAGGCTCCTCCGACCGCTTCGGATATATCGACATGTGCTCTCCGTGGGTGCGGCGCCCGGGAGAAGGTTCAGTGCTGAGGGAGGATGCAGCGTGCAGGTACATACAGTAAGTTAGGAGGCGTGCTCGTGGCCGCTGCAGCTGTTTGTTCGTCTTGCGGGCGGAACAGCCCACAGCACAGCCAACGAACGCTGCAGTGGTGGAGGTGCGGTGGGGTCCTCCGAATACGGTACGTGGCTCGGACTCGGAGGGCAAGGCAAGGCAGGGAGGGCATGGAAGCACGACCTAACCAGGCTCTCACTCACCACGTCCAAGCGCCAACCTTCCACCTGCAGCACATGCACATCCTTCATCTCATGCACACGCCCACGCACGCGCACGTCTCCTTGCTGAGGTCTGAAGTGCCGTCTCAGTGCTTTGCCCCTGCTCGCCACAGCGCCACCGGAAAGAGCCGCCCGCCCGCAGCGTTCTGGCATCCAAGACTCGACTCGCCTTCACGCGCACTCCACCACGCACACCCGACATCGCCACAAACATGGACAAGGACAACGCAAATCCAATCATCATCAACCCAAGCGACCTGCCGTCCCGCCGTCGTTCCACACCTTCAACGGCGAAGCCGCGAGCAATATTCGATGCTCTAGCGCCACACTACCCCAGCCTTACTGCCACCACATCACCAGCAGAAATCCTGTCAGACCCCAGTGACAGCGATGACGACGACGAAGAGCGCGAAGAAATTGATGAACAGGAGGTCTACGACCTAATCTCCACCATTACCGACCCTGAGCACCCCCTCACCCTGGGCTCCCTGGGAGTCGTGAACCTGGAGGACATCAAAATCCTCCCGCCGTCCTCTCCGCGCTCACGCATCAGCTCAGTCCAGGTATTAATCACGCCCACGACCTCGGCCTGCTCCTTGACCACTGTCATTGGCCTGGGTGTCAAAGTTCGCCTCGTGAATGCTTTGCCACCACGCTTCCGCCTGGACGTGCGCATCAAAGAAGGCACCTCCACTTCTGCACATGAAGCAAACAAGCAGCTGGGCGACAAAGAACGTGTGGCAGCCGCTATGGAGAATCGAAACCTCATCAACATGGTCAACCACATGCTGTCCTCGTGCGACTAACGTAAACTGGACCCGTCTGTTCCTGCAGCAGTCGGACTAGTGTGGAGGAATTTACTGTAGCATCAAACGACATCCACATCTAATGTCTTGGGGCACGCAATGATCTGCTACGTTTCATTATTCCACAGATGGAACTCTGACGAACGTTGCAACGACTTTCCAGGGTTCGTGATACCACATTGGACACTGTAGTGCCGAGGTTTGCATGTCAAGCACATGCTATTGCCGGCCCAAGCTCCCGGACAGGGCCTCGCTCAAGGCGCTTGTGCGCGGCCTCTCCACGGCAACACTAGTAGGCTCGCCCGCATGAGCACCTGGAGCAGAACATCTCGCTTAGATGCTGAAGCACAATGCACGGGAGTGACGTTGGGATTAAGTTTAATAGAAGCTGTCTTCTGGAGAAAAGCTATTGAGCACTGACGCTTCTCTACCAACGTTCTTCCCAGTGCCCATGCCGCTTCTGATGATCTGAAACAGGCCAGGCACAATTATCTTCTGTCGATTCATCCAAACTGTGTGTGCGAGCAGCCTCACGCCCTTCCAACCCGGGGAAGTACTTCAGACTTCTATCTCTACCCTCAGAAACTCCAACGCAATGACCATATTCTGACTCCTGCTATGCTATGCTTCGCTCTAGAACGCGGCAACTTCGAATCTCCGACTCCCCTACTACCGTGGCACGGGCACGGCGGCGGATATGGTCGCTTCCTCCCTGCCCTCACCCTCGTTCCTGGTTCGTGGAGCCTGAGGATTATTGTAGTAGTGCTGGTCAGCCATAGCCTTGCTGGCGCCCGCAGGTGGAGGAACATAAGCAGGTGGAGCGTCATCGAATCTGTGATACGCCGGAGGTGGAGGCGCATAGCCATGCATAGAATAGCCGTCCTGATACGGGTCCGAGTACACGGGCTGCTGATACTGGTACTGCTGCCCTTCTCTCACACTGCGACGCATCATCCATCGGTGATATCCAAGCAAGGGCAACCCTTTGCGCAGTCGTCTCTTTGCGTGAACGTAGCCGCCTAGGAAGAACAGCAATATGCTTGCGAATATTATGCAGATGACCGTGTATCTCAATGCTATTCCGCTCTATAATGAACGTCTCATGTCAGTTATCTCATGCTCCTCCAATCTTGCCTGTGGGATCACGTACAGAAGACCACCACCAGCTTTCACCATCTTCCAGGTAATTCTCATTGTAGGTATCGCTCGTATTTTCTGTTATCGGAGCTCCATCCCCACCATCCCTCTTGCTGAGCAGTCGCATCGCCGTGGCCATCTCTCCTCCCGAACACCTTCGATTGTTGTTTCGATCGTGAGGGCGCGCGGCGCCGCGAGCTACGAGTAAGTCGACGCAGATGCGATAGATAGGTAGGTAAGTCGCGATGTACATGTACTGTACTTGTGGAAGGTGTCGTTCACACCTACAGTAACAGTACGGTAGTTGAGCAGCAGTGGCACCGCCTCGTGCTATTCATACATACACAAAAATCCTAGAAATTTTGGCAACAAACAACAACAGCAACAATCGCCTGGCCCCTGGTCTCGCTTCAAGCATTGACTTCACTGTCACGTTTTGCTCGATTCTACTTCCATGTTGCTCTTGTGGTGTGTGCTTTGTGTTGAACCCGGTTTCTTTAATTGGGCATCAAGCAATACGAACGTTATTACAATCGGAATGCGAAAAACTCGAGTCAAAAGTGTGGGTGTCATAACTTTTGGCTGTATGTATACCCTGTCACTGCTAAATGTTACATGCATAAAACGCGACGCCACGTGGCGTTGGCTCGGGAACGGAAGCTTTCCAGGTCGGGTTCTTTCTTACATATACGAGTAGAGATGCTGGTTCACATGGCTATAAGAATAGCCGCTGTTTCCGTGGTATGGACCATAATGGACCGACTGTAGGTGTGGGTATAACGTAGATATGCTAAATGTATGGGGAGTTGTTGGCGGAAGGTAGGGAACAGTGCAGGTGTGTGTCCTGTGTGGTCTAAATCGTTCGCTGGTCGCTGAGGGTTGGATGTTGCCTATACTCGGAAGGAAGGCGCTCGAACATTCACCGATATAATATGTATTATCTCAAAACTTAAAAACGAGCTGTAAGAGCCTAAGAGGGAGTATATAGGTATAAGCAGGATGGTCTACTATGGCCATTTAGGGAGCCGCAGTGAACACCTTGGTCCACGGGGTTCATGGACATTGCGGGTCGTGGACTTACATCTCTATATACGAGAGAAGAAGCATGGAAATGTCCTTGGAACAACTCTAAATTCTGTTAGTAGTCATGGTTGTGAGACCATCTCCCGTCGTCGAGTCGTATTAGAATCGACATGGTTGACCAGAATCAGGGCAGGCCGCAGGTGCAAACAAGCATTCGAACCTGGCTTGGCTTGATCGAGAGACAAGGGCCATACCAACTGCAACAACAAAAGAGCCACCAAAAAAGCATCGACAAGAACCGCGCTATGAGATTTGCTAATAATTGCTTGACTATCTCCAGAAGCAAGTCCTCGTACTCGTCGTCGGACAACGAACAGGCATCCGAGACTTTACAAGTACGATCCCCCCGAGAATTTCCCAGAGAAACCCGCCGCCTTGTTCAGCAACTGTCTCTTCTGTGACGAAGAAATGTGCCCACTGCCGCCGATGTCTTTCTCCCGGTCGAAAGCGCGTTTAGACGGATCGTCGTCTTGCACCTCGGCGCCTTTGGCCTGTTTATGTTGATCTAGCAGCGAAGGGCCGCGAGTTTGTTCCTGCGATGCGAGCGTTAGGATTTAAATGCTGCTTGGATCGAGCTTTGCGCCGAGGAAATCATGTCCCGTACGATTGGGACGGGAATGAGAGTAGCAACGTGTACTGTACTTACTACATGCTGTTGAATGTTCCGGTGAGCGGCCTCTTCTTTGGCAGACTTTGATGGTCGAGTTGGCACAGGGCCTGATGCTGAAGGTTTGCTAATTCCCAGCATTTCGTCTTGTAGTCGTTTTTGCTTCTGTTTGGGGGACTCGTGCCATGAAGATGCGTCGTCTCCTGTCGAGCTTGGCCCGCGAGCGCCTTTGCCTGTATTGAATGCTTTGGGCCGTTGCTTGGATGGGTCCATGCGCGCTGCCAGGTCGTCTTGTTTGGGAGGCATCATCATCCAGTCGTCTCGTTTCGGCTTCTCCTCGACGCCAGGTTCAGCAGCCGATTGAGGTCCAGCCTCTCCATCGTCGTCGGAACCATCATCACCCTACATAAATCAGCATGTGATTGTGAGGTGCACATCTACATCGAGAGAAACCTACTGTGTTTCCTCCACTTGGCAGCGCTGGGCCAAAGTCGTCGTCGCTATCGTCACTTTCTGCTTCTCTTGTGTCTCTTGACGGCTCTGCTGGCTTTGTGGGTCTCTCGTCCAACGGTGCTGGCGGAGGAGCAGGGCCCATCATTCTTCGTCTCTTCTCTGGCTCCTCTGGACTTTTGGGTGGCTTTGCGCCGGCATTTGTGGCTGCTTCATCTTGAGCTGCTTCCTCTTGCTTTCTCTTCCTCTTTGCTAGTAGGTGCGGCGGTAGATCTGGACCTGCGGCCGACATGTTTCCGAGTGGATGTAGTGTGTGTAGGAGGTCAAATCCAAAGTCGAGATGCTACGCTTGTGAAGGAGATTCTGAGGGATCTGGGGAAGCTTGAGCCATCCTCAACGCGATGAAGTAACACACATGCAATTACACATTATTTGTCGCACGGTTGCACATATCGTACACACACTTTCATGCTCTTGCGACGGCCAATATCTGTAGCCGTGTCAAAAGTGCTTCAATCACGCGAATCCGCACTCCTTCGATCTCCGCGCGGCATAGCCACCAGGATTGCGTAGCTTCACCATTTGAAGGGCTGGTTGACGTAAAGACGCAGAACTACCAGGTCCGCGCTGACGCGAGGGTGATGAGAGCAATGCGTGTGAAAAGGGAGAACCGATGAGCTCCATAGTCGGAGAAGGCCAAGAAGGTGGCACCAATGAAGATGTGGAGGCAGATGTGTTAGTACGCAATGCGGAAGCCCGACTGGAAGAGCAAGAGCAGGATCACGGCAGATTAGGGGACGAAGAACAAGAGGACGAAGAGATTGCGGAGCGAGATATCGAATATGGCGAATTCGAAAGCCCGCAAGCAAAAGACGAAGCATGGGCGGAGGAAGAGGGTGTGATACCGGACCAGCCTGATCTTGAAGACGAAGAGACTGCTGAGCTCGCGGAAGACCAAGACTTTGCACAGCTCAGCAGAGAGCAAGATGAGGGCTCGAGAGATGTGGCTTCTTCAGATGTTGGACCTTCGACGCCTGTTGGGCAGCGAAGTCCGCTTCCAAGCCAGCTGGATTCTGGATCCATACCCGATGATACACCTTCACGGCCAGGATCCTTGATATCCTCGCCAGGTCGAGGTTCTTCACCACTACCTCGCAGGCCTGTGTCAAGAACGCCATCAGGCGCCTTGCAGCCTTTTGAACGCCGGTTTGAGACGAAACTGTCGGCATCACCTGGATCACCTCGACCGCAGTCTCCAGCTTTCTTGAGTCCACACTCTCGCCAGGTCTCGATATCTTCGCACCTGTCAGGCATTTCCTCTGATGCCGGTGACTCGGCCACTGATACTCCACAGGCTCCCTGGGAGGTGATTAGATGGACGAAGCTTCGAAAGATTACCGGTCAGGCTTTCTCCGAAAGTGGCAAGCGGAGTTTTGGTCGACCTACCTGCATGGCCGTATCTGCGTTGATAGCGATAGGAACCTCCAAAGGCCTCGTTCTGGGCTTCGACTACCATCAAACTTTGAAGATCATCATCGGCCCTGGGACGAAAGCAACGGAATGTGGATCCGTCACCTCGCTGGCAATTGCTGCAGACTATTCGACAATCGCCAGTGGGCACGCCAACGGCACTATCTTCACCTGGGAGATCAGTCGACCGGCGAGACCATTTCTTACCATATCGCCTATGGATCGCAGTGTGCTGCAAGAATCAAATCATCCAGACGGCCATCTTGCGAACGCTGCCATCCTTCACGTAGGCTTTCTTGGCACTAGACATACTGCCTTAGTATCCGCAGATGCTGGCGGTATGGCCTTCTCTCATCTTGCTACCCGTGGCCTCGGTCCTGTCACGAGGACCATTAAGACTACTCGCCTTTTGGGTCGCTACCCACCAGCAGATCCACAAGCGGAAAGGAGTCGGAAGCCAAGCTCAGTGCTTGCCTTTTCGCCACTTCCATTGGGGAATGTGGAGCAGGGCACAGACGGGATGGGCCTCACAGCTCTGCTCACTCCATATCTGCTAGTCATTGTCTCCACCACCCCGATTGCTCAAACGCAACACAAGTCGGCTCGACCGAAAGAGATTACTCCCCATAGCACACTCAGTGGCTGCTTGGCCTGGTTTCCTGCTGTGAAGCTCAAGAATTCAAGTGCAGATGCAGGGAAGGGCAATTCTGATACCAAGCTGGTCTACTGCTGGTCTAATGTGCTGACAGTCCTTGATGTCAAGGTCATCCCGGATTCTGCAGCGGACGCACAAAAGCCACCATCACTGGAGTTTCATGCTCGAAGCCGATGGCGAGCAGACGAGACCATCGTAGCAGTACAGTGGATTGGCAGATCTGTCCTTGGTGTTCTCACGATCAGCCAGAGGCTTCTAATTGTCGAAGACGGCTCTTTGCAGGTCACAGATTCCATCGACCTACTTCATCGCCACATATATCATCAAGACCTGTTCTCTCGACAACTTCATGCTGTCGTTGAGCAACTCGACTCCGACGATCCGTCGCTGCACGGCGTCGTTGCAGACGCGTTTCACATGAGCTTCAAGGTCTACAAGGGTCGAACCTTTCTCTTAGGATACAATGACCTGAGTGTTGGGACTCTATCGAACTGGGCAGATAGACTAATTGCCCTAATGGAGGCTGGCGACCAGATTGCTGCCATCCGACTGGCAATTGAGTACTACGCCGGCAGCGCGAACAATGTGACAATCGGTCTGCCTGATGCAGACGATGCGCGACATTCGACAGTCCGAGATCGATTGATGGCTATGATATCTGCCTCCTTGAACTATACCTTCGCCCAGCAAGATGAGCAACGGGAACAGCGTTTGCAAGAATTGGCAGGCGTCTGCTTCGAGGCTTGCATCGTGATGAAGGAGTTCGACTACCTTTTCGCTGATGTCTTTGAGGCTTTCCAGGAGTCTGAAGAAGAGTCTGTCTTCGTGGCCACTCTCGAGCCATACGTGCTTGGCGGAGAAGTCAAGGCGCTACCGCCAGATGTCGTCAAGGCTGTGGTTACACATTTCATCGATGAGAACCAGGCAGTGCAGCTCGAGGAACTTCTTTGCAGGCTCGAGCCTCACTCTTTCGATCTGGATGAAATCACAACTCTGTGTCGTCAGCATAACTTGTACGATGCATTGATCTACGTGTGGACGCAGGCTTTGCGTGATTACGTGACACCCATGATTGACCTTCTTCAACTTGTGAAACTGCTGCAGAGCGGTGCTTTCGAGGACGAAGACCTGACCGACAATCCTTTCTACGAGTCTGCTGTGAAGGTCTTTCCATATCTAGCATACTCTCTGACGGGCCGAAGATATCCAGGCGGATTATTCATTGAGGACGATGACGCGTATCACGCAAAGACAGCCCTTTATGGCTACCTGTTTTCGGGTACCCCAGTCGCCTGGCCTGGCGGCAGTAACAAGGTCTTCAAGACCGCGACCAAAGCAGAAGATGAGCCGGCGTTCCCCTATCTCGACTTACTGCTTCACTTCGACGCTGCAAGCTTCATGAGCATGCTTAACGAAGCTTTCGAAGATTCATTCCTCAATGAAGCCGAAGAAGAAAACGGCGTCAACGGCACATCTCTGATCAATGGTCTTGCTGGGAAGAAGAAAAGCAGGCAGCAAATTATCGAGATCATGCTGGACGTCATGAGACAGGGCGACTTTGAACCCGAGGAGGTTGTATATCTTGACATTTTCGTGTCAAGAAGCCTGCCCAAGTATCCCGGCCAGCTTATACTGACAGGCACACTCCTGAACAATGTGCTGCAGAGATTGTGTCGACCACCCCTTGAAATGCTGCGAGAAGACTGCCAGCTCAGCGTTGAATATCTTCTCTCGGCGTATCATCCCTCGAATACCATGGACCTGATTGATGCACTAAAGACAGCAAAATTTTTCAGAGTGCTGAAGTCTGTGTATCGCGGAGAGAAGCTGTTCCCAGACTTGCTTCAGCTATACTTTGAAGATCCAGATGATAAGCAAGACGTCTTTGATTGCATCACATTTTGCTTGCGCCAAAGCACGAGTCTCAACCAGAAGCAAGTCAAGGAGGTCAAGGCGGTCATTTCTGAGCATATACAGGATTTGGTTGATATCGACACGGTCCTCACATCGAGGACTCTAGCCACGGCATGCATAGACTTGCTACAACCGAGCATAGAGAAAATCACGGACTCCCATCAGCTGTTCGTTTACCTCAGAGCACTTCTTGAGCCGGCTTTGCTACGAGATCGCAAGCTGAGTACGTCTCCGCTGTCGAGCGAGCAGCAACCGGCATTCGTGGAGCAGTATGTGCAGCTCATGTGTAGGCACGATCCTACGCATGTTGCCGACTACATCAAAGTCTTGCCATCAAATGACTTACGTCTAGAGAAGGTTCTGCCTGCAATGGAAGAGAGTGGAGTGATCGATGCTGCTGTTGCACTTCTCGCAAGAGATGGACTGGCTAGAGAAGCCATGGACAGGCTCGTCCTTCACATGCAGAGCCTGCAGCGTGCTCTCACTGGACTGATTGAGGCTGCCGCGTCTGATTCCAATGTCACAGCTTCTCAGCAGACTTCAGATGATCTTGTGGAAGACTTGGAAAAATACAGCAAAGTCGGCTTGTGGCTGTGTCACGGCCAGACTGCTACAGCGGAGAGGAAGCCCCGCCCACGCACCAATCTCGCCTGGGACATCAACGAGGACGACTTGGACCTGGATGAATACCTGTGGCTAAACCTTGTTGACGTGATCGTACAAGTGACTCAAAGCGTCGGAATGGCCCTACAGCATTACCAGAGATATCCCATTGCGCACGACGAAGACACTTTCGATACAGACAAATTGGCGGCTGCTCTGCGAGCGAATGTCCAGCAGACATTCACAGCACTCCTCGCATCCACAGCGACGCCCAATCTCCGAGCGGAGCAAGACGATGCGCCACAACCTAGGCAAGAAGCTGATCATATGAGCTTCCTGCGCATCCTACGAGCATTCCTCACACGTGCAGCGAAGACAGCACCCTCTTTGGGAGACCTTCGTGCTGTGCTGCAAGATATCTTCTCTGCCTACACTTTTGAGCAAGGTGTCTTGTCCCTCGCCAACGAGCTTCTCAACGCAGACACCTTCACAGATGTCCGTGGAGCCAACGAACTTCGACAACGCGGATGGCGCCCACGTTCACAGGTATGCGAGCGCTGCAAGCGTCGAGCCTGGGGTACGGGAATAGGAGAAGTGGTCTGGGACGAATGGATGCACAAAGAGCAAGAACGTGAGAAGGAGCGGACAAGAAAGTCTCTTGAAAGAAGTGGTGGGGAAGAGGCTAGACGCAGAAGCAAAGGCAAGATGTCCATACCTTCTACGCCTGCTGCTGTGAGTGCCGATAATGGAGATGAAGTCAGACGTATGGCATTAGTGGTGTTTGCTTGTCGCCATGTCTATCATCGCGTTTGCATTGATGAGGAGTTTAGAGAAGGAAGGCCGATGAGGGGTATGTATCAATGTCCGGTATGTACAGAGGCAGCTGAAGAGCAGAAATGAGAAAGACGAGTTTGAGCGTAGACTTGGCAGGAGCGACGAGGGACTTGGCTTGAAGGATCACCTGCAGCACCAGAGTTACGTTGTGGCTGAGAATACCTCATTTGCTGACTTCAGAGCTCAGCTGATGAACAGGAAATAATATACAAGACATCGTAGACTCCAGGATTCGACTCCCTGCAGTTTGCTCTGTCTGCTGCATAGCATAACATGGCACATCACTTCACAGCCCAGGACATCCACCAGCTAGGCCGACGCTACAACCCAACAACCACACCATCTTCTGCCCAAATTTCCACAATACCTCCTCAATCAACACCACATCCTCCTCCTCCACCACCACAAAAATTTCAACCCCAATCAACCCTCCAGACCCAGATCCCAGGAACAGAACCACCCACCGACCCCCTAGACCTAAAATCCTTCCTCGAACGCACATCCCCCATAGGCCTACACATAATCAACAACCGGGACTTCTCCACCTCCAACACCCACCCAAGTCTATGCCACCTCCACCCCTCGCATGAAATCCATTTCGACAATTATCCTTCACCCTTAACTTGGGATGAATACATGAACATCTCGGAAAAACTCGTGCAAGAGAATTCGAAGTATAGGTTGGAGTTGAAAGGGATTGATAGTGATATTGATGAAGTGTCCGGGAGGGCTACGGTGCATATGGAGATTGAGATTTTTGGGTTGAGTGGGACGGAGAGGATGGCGGGGGTTAGCTCGGTGGAGTGGGAGAGGGACGAAACAGGGAGGTGGTGGGCGATTAGTGCGGTGGGGATGAGAGGGAGTGAGATTGGAGGGGGGTTTGTTTGAGGAGTGGTTTTTGTTTGCAATCCATATCTGTGAGTGCGCGATGCGCTGTATTCCGGCTCTGGTCAGAATTACATATTGCCTCGTCCTTCCGTGGCATTCGGGTGCTTCAGCCTTGCCTTAATGCCTCTGCAGAAGTTCTGCGCAACAATCAAGCGGGAAGAGCATCTTCGCTTTCGTGCTTCGTAGAACCACCAGGCCCTTTTGTGATGGATATCAAGCAGTTTCTCCGTCTTTTTCATCTCCCTGCCCTTTTCCCACGCCCGCGGTCCAGCCATCTGCACTGGTCCAGGTGCAGTACGCCTTAGCCACATCGAGCTCGGCCCATGTAATTTCTCCATATTCTCGCGAATTCATGCTCCGGCAATAGACCTTGATTGTGGTTGCCGCATTTTGGAGTTTAGGCGTACACTCCTGCAAGACTGCCGCAAGACTGTGTCCACGCACATCCACCGGCCACTCTTCCGTAATGGACTCTACATCTGCATCCTTCCGCAAAGTATTCTCGTCCGCCATACACACCATGATCACAACTTCAATGTGTTTTAGCTGCGACAGGCCCACAGTCAAGCTCGAAATCCACGACACATGGTTTTCGAGCTCAAGCTTAGCGTTGCACTTGTTGTGGACTGCAGTCTGATGGCAAGTCTGATTGCAAAGAGCTATCGAGTGTAAGGTGGCCACTCTGGCGAGTTTGAATTCTGCGTGCTGGGCCGCGTCTATCTTGAACGGGACAATGGATTCCACATCAGCCTCTGGGTCCTCGCAATCCGTCCCAACAAGCTTCGCATCTCGGACGACGGACTCCAGATATTCCTTGCTGAACTGATGGTTGACCAGAAGGAGGGTCAGGCGTGGTCCAGCCTCAAGGAATAGCTCTATCGCGTCCTTACGGCAAATCTTCGAATCTTTTTTGAGGTGCACATAGACGTTGTCGCGCATCTCGCGCGGTAAGTCCATGAATCGGAACGGCTGGTCTTCGTTTGGAACAGGATTCTGGTTAGCGACATTTTGAGGCATCAATTGGTCGGTCTTGATGGCGCCAGCAGCGCCGCCTGCCGTGGAAGGCATACTCGCAGGTTTCGGTGTGGGTGGAAGAGCAAAGTGCGTGCCAGCTCCTTGTGGGCTGGCCATGATCGCGTGCAGTCGACAGGCTCGAAGATGCTGATGTTGATCTCGAATTCGGAATTCTCGCAAGTGACTAGTAGGAAAGTGAGCTGGATTTTTAATGAAAGGGCAAGAGTGCCACAGACCACGTCACAGCGAGCGGCTTCCCGCGCATGTGAAACCCACAAATAGGCATCACTCTTGCCTCAATTTGTGCTTGCTCCTTCACGTGCGCAAAGTGCAGCTTTTTGAATATGGGCCGCTCAAGCTGCCTTTCGTCCCCTCCTTCTCTTTCATGTCCTATCTGTCTGCATAGACTCAAATGGCTCGAATGCCACAAGTCGATGGCGGCGAGGTCGTGAAGTCTCGAGCATCGGAATTCGATAAATGGTATTGACTTGGTTACTCGATCTTTCCGATTATGACTCCACAAGCGTTACACGCTCGATGACCTGTAAATTCTGGCGGCTGTCCTTTCACCTGATCACAATCATCCGCACATGCTCCCATGGACGGCCTGCAATGCGAGCACCTTCAAATCGAGCCCAAACTCCTCAAACTCCACCCACCCACCCACTCTCTCTAGTCCACGTCCCAAACCCATCCCCAACCCTAATCTGCTCATATCTAGCCTGCTGCGGCCGGGACCCATCCGGCCTAATATGATAATAAATCTTAACACTCTCAACCGGAACCCCAAAATCCCGTACCAATTCCTCAAGCTCCTCACAGCACTTCTTCAACAACTCAGAATCTCCAGGCCACCTCTGCCCCTTCCGCAAAAAATTCTTCCATGCCGGACAGAAAGAAACGAGAACCGACATCTCAACTTTCGGAATATCGACCAACTTCGGTGCTAACTCCTTGAGCCACAAACGATGGGTTCTGATGTCGTCTAGAATATTGCAGTCGGCGGTCCCGGCATCGTCGCAGCAGCAGAGTGCGATCAGTTTGAATTCGGCGCAGCCGATGTGTTTGAATTCGACGTCGGGGGGAAGGTCGAGTTTTGTGGGGACGAGTTCGGTGCAGTCTTCTCCGATGAGTTTGGAGCGGCGGAAGGTGGATGCGAGGTACTCCTTGGAGAATCGGGAGCTGATGTTGAGCATCGCTTCTATGGGTGCGTCTTGTATGGCGATGTGTATGGCATTTTGTTCATTGACCTTGAGGAGCTCCTTTGTGTCGTGGACAAGGTGCTCGTATACTATGTCGCGAAGCTCGCGGGGAAGGTCGTTGAAGCAAAAGCGATGTGAAGGGTAGCGTGTATCGTTGACGGCAAGACATAGTTGGGACATTACTTCATCCAAGGGCACCTGGCGTGCGGGTTCCATAATGGTCTCCTGAGTTGCTGTGTCCATGATGGAGTGAAAGTACTCCGCCGCGGGTGGGACCTCCGCTTGACCGTCAACGGTTGTACGTGAATTCAACGCCATTGTGAAGCCGCGATTGATCCAACGCAAAATACTCTTTGCGAATTCGAATCCTAGCGTGTGAGCAGGATTCTGCCCAGTCATGGTGTGGAGATAATATGCGCCAGGACTGATGGACTGATCAAATGTCTAAGAGAGAGTAGGCTTGAATTCGAGAATTTCGGATGAGCTTGTGCGATTAGAAATCTGAAATCTGGCCTGAAGTGCGATCAAGCTGTTTCCTAGTAAATGTATATCAGCGCTCTCATATATCATCACACATGGGCATCATCTATATCTTTGCCTTCGCTGCTTCTTTCATTATCTCTTGTGTCAATACCTCGCCCTCCTTCTTGATAGAGCTCAGGCGTCCAATGCTCATAAGTTTTGCGATCATGTCCTCATCGCCGAAATGACTATTGTGTTCGAACTCTGGCTCTTCTCCATAAGCTACTCTTGCAGCATCCACGAGTATGCGAGCAGTCATGCCAAATACCCTATATCGCGGCTGCTCGAGAGGGTTGGTGGTGTTCATGTAGAATGATCGCGGAAGAGGAGGCTGAAGAGTTGATCGAGTCTGCTTAGAAGACGCTGGATCTTTACTGGGCAATGACGAAGACGGCGTGGGAGAGCTACTGCTGCTCTTCGATTTGGACACTTCCTGCGGCGATCGAGGTTCGGCATAGGAAGGAGGTTTTCTCGCAAGGAAAACTGTTCCTTGAGGCACGGGAACGAAGAATTGATGCATCCTCCACGCGCTCTCATGCCAACTATGCCAGCTACCCTTGTACCACTCTCCCGGAAATTTCTCTCGTGTCTGCAGGTCCATATCCTTCTCAAATAGGAAGTTTTGGAATGGGGCGGTGAATACTGCCGCGACTTCTCTTGCGTCAAGCTTTGGCAGGATATCGCGAGCAGCGTCAGGATTCTGATTCTTGGCCGATGGAGCAGGAGTTTTTAGATATGCTATGCATGGCCGTACTCCAAGCTCAGTCATTGCCAGATTTGCTGGAAGCTCTGTGAGATGCTCGACACTGTAGCCGGGAGGGAGCTGATGATCGCTCATAGGTAGACCGATCTCTTCGAAAGCCTCCCTTCGAGCAACCTTGAATGGGGTTTCTTGGAGGGTATCCGACTTGCCGCCTGGGAGAGCAGCTTGTCCGGCATCTTTATGGTGTCAGCGCTGCAAGCTGGCTGGCAAATCGCTCGTTCTCACAGTTCTTAAGGCCTGACGATCTGATCGTTAATACTACTCTCAGGTCGCCTCTCTTGTCAGCAAAGAGCAGGATCAGAACTGCTGCCCTTCGCGTGAGTGGACATCGATACCAATTCGTTGGCGGCGCAACGAAGGATCTCAGGTTGGCTAACGCCTTCTGGAGTGTTGTCAGTTAAGTCAACATCACATTCAACACGAGGTCTTGCCTTGGATGCGGGCGAAAGAGAAGGCATGCTGGCGCCATGGTATGTAGAGTCGAGCTAATCATCATTGAAGTGTCTCTGACTGATCAACGTGCGGGTGGTGTTGTTGGAGCCAGGCGCGTGCCGAGGTCCTCTTTCCTGGTGCAGATCATTTTGGAGTGCGGGATCTAACGGCATTGATCTTGATTACATACAGTATACTCGACAGGTCGGTATCATACTGCATGGATGCGCAGCTCCAACCACTGCATTACCGTAGCCCTATGGACAGCAGACACTATATAGCGTGCAGGAAAAGCCTTAACTGGGGCTCGTTGAGAATCGCTGATTGCCATGGGACTGTCAATAGCCCGCCCTTACTCGATCTGTATGTGTGACTCCCATCAGTCTCTCAGCTCGAGGAATTCTCGCAGTGAGATGCTCTCATGATATTGAGAAGCATGGGTATACTGTTTGAAAGCTCCATGAACGCCCCACATGCGTGTGCCGGTGAACCCGGCATCTTATTATTCGCTCCAACCAACGCCATGCTCGAATGCTCGCTCTTCACATCGGTCTAATCTGCATGCAGTCTGGCCATGGTCCAATCCGTTGCCAAATACTTGCTCGAAGCTTGGCTCCCTCTCATGTGTCGTAACGGATGGCCTGCCTGTCCAGAGGGATTGTCAGTGCCAGGATTCGCTCCGCTATACGCTCGGATCGTGATAAAGGAAGTTGATGTCTCGAGGTCGTTGCCTATTAGACTTCACAAATTCTGCATCTCCGGGAGGTCCTGTCCACTGTCAGTATGCTATTCTCCCATGAAAACTCCACAACCCCAATACGCACTCTCATTCTTCGTGTTGCTCGCAAGCATGCTCTGGATGCTGATGCAAATTGACTCGACGTTATGAACCGGACTCCAGCCTTGAGAGTCCAGCAGGTCAAGACATATTATGCCGTTGCTGTAAATATGCGGATGTATGGGTATCCTCCGCGGCGGGTCGTTCAAAGCGATGAACGTGACCTCGGGCGCCTCAATGGGATAATTTGGAGAGAACTGAAATCGCAGTCGGAACTTCTCGTCTGGGTTGTAAAGCGGGTTGTCTGGGACCACTACATCCATCTGCCACTCCTTCAAGTCCGGCGTAGATACGATGGAGATACCCGGTGGCAGTGCAGGGCCCTGCAACTTTGCAAGCTCCTTCTGCAAGCGCTTGCTCGCCATGCCAGCCATGTCGAATTGTCTTGAATGTCGCTTCAACAGAGGCCTGCGGTGTCGAGTCGAGGTTACGAGTGGTATCGAGAGACGAGAGGTATGGACGGAGACGGGATTGATTTGCGGTGCTACAAGTTTGGTCGGTTGCTCGTTGCGGCGGGTTACGGTGAGCACAGCAGATTGCTGGTCACAGAGCGATGTGCTTTGCCTTGCAAACGCAGTGGAAGCGACTCAAAGCGGTAACATGCATCACAAGCAGAAGCGCAATTCGAGGTTCCAAGAATACATCTAATCTAGCGCGGGGACGCACGTGGCTGTGCAGGGCGCGAAGTTTCCCGGTGAACGCTCTGAGAAACGGGGGGGTGAAAATGAAGCGGCATGCAGAGATCCCGACAGCGAAAATTGAAATCGATGGTACTACTGTAGGAACAAAGATTGGATCATGAAAGAACAACGATACTGTACAAGATAGAATACGGCATCCGGAGGTACGCCACAGCCACGCTGTCCGGACCCGGACCCTGGCAACTGGTCTGGTCTGCAGACTCAGCCCCGCGGTAGCCTGAGCTGGAGCTGGACTGCTGGAGGCCCGTCGTGTGTAGTGTGTTCTGTGTACTACTGTACCTCCTACATTCTAGCAAGCGAGCGCTTCTGATTCAGCTGTCAGACCTCTTCTCCCTGTCCCTCGCACCTGAGTCCACTGACAGTCAATATTGACTGGCCATATCGCAACGATTCGCAGCGGCGACCCCGCGACTGCCCCGAAACACCCACCCGAGAGCACGGTGTAGCGCGAGAAGACACCCCCAAAGCAATCGCGCAGGAGCGCCTGCCCGGCCCAGAGAAGAGCCATGTCTTGTATGTTTCCCTCGAGCACACAACATTCCCTATCCTATTTCCCTTCGCATTGTATCTCCCTGACCGCGGGCATTGAGCTGTCTCGCTTTCAACCTTAAGCGCATTGATACACCTACATACCCCTTGTTCCTGGCACGCTGCGTTTCATCTGTCGTCATACCCTACAACAGATATCCAACATCGTGTCCCAGATGCCTGGTCTGTCATTCGCACAATACAATGAAGGCCCTCAGGAGGGCGGTACCGTTGAAGCCAGAGCTAACTGTTAAAACTGCAGTCCAAGGCATGTTGAACAAGCTGCACGGCCAGCCCGACAGCTATGACAAGAAGAACAAGTATAAGATGGGCCGCACGCTGGGCGCTGGCACCTACGGTATTGTCAAGGAGGCCGATGGACCTACGGGCAAGGTCGCAGTCAAGATTATCCTGAAGAAGAACGTCAAGGGGAATGATCAGATGGTGTATGACGAGCTGGAGATGCTGCAAACATTACAGCATCCTCACATCGTCAAGTTTGTGGACTGGTTCGAATCGCGCGACAAATACTACATCATCACACAGCTGGCTACTGGTGGTGAGCTATTCGACCGCATCTGCGACAAGGGCAAGTTCACAGAGAAGGACGCATCCGCGACGATGAGACAAGTCTTGGAAGCCGTCGACTATCTTCACTCCAAGGATGTTGTTCATCGAGACCTGAAGCCCGAGAATCTGCTATACCTCACTCGCGAACCGAATTCAGATCTTGTACTGGCAGACTTTGGCATCGCGAAGCATCTCGACAGCCCCGAAGGCGTCCTCAAGACCATGGCGGGGTCTTTTGGATATGCTGCACCAGAGGTCATGTTGAAGCGTGGTCATAGTAAACCAGTCGACTGTTGGTCTCTTGGTGTCATTACCTACACGCTTCTCTGCGGTTACTCTCCATTCCGATCGGAATCGCTACAAGATCTCATCGAAGAGACGAAAAACGGCAAGGTTATTTTCCATGACCGATATTGGAGGGACGTTTCGAAAGAGGCCAAGGACTTCATCAAATCGCTGCTCAGACCCGACCCTCATGAGAGAGCAACAACAGCGCAAGCGCTCAGAGATCCTTGGATAGCAGGCAAGGGTGCTACAGACCACGATCTCCTTCCCGAAGTCAAGGCATACCTGGCTCGTGCCAAGCTCCGAAAAGGCATCGAACTCGTCAAGCTCGCAAACCGCATTGAGGCGCTCAAGATGCAAGAAGACGAGGAGGAGAACGTACCGCAGGAGGCAGACGTACCAGCTGACGCACTCGCGGCGGCCGATCAAGCCACACGAGGACGTGAAGGTGGTAACTCGAGGCTGACTGTGCCTGGAGGGGAACCCACGCGAAAGAGGAGTTTGTCCAAGCTGGCCAAGAGCGCAATTTTCAGAGAGGTAAACGCAGCCAGCATTTCCATGTCATACCAGATACTAATTGTTTGCAGGTGGTATTAGCAAAAGTACGAGAAATGAAAGCAGAAGAGGAGAAGCGGAAAACCATGGGTGCAAGCTCAACCACGAGCAGCAAGTCATGATTAGCAGTAATTAGCCCTGCGAGAGGGAAGCACAGGTTACTACAGGATCGCTTATGAGACGGCGCAATTGGTGCATAGATGGGCTGATACCTGGATCGGCTCTCCTACGAGAGTATGAGCATTTTACTCGGAAAGATACATTCAAAGTTGATATCGACTGCAAACAAACATTATCCCATACTCAATTCTGGTGACTACTGCCTCATAACCATCTCAACATCGTCTCTTCTCTCAAATCGCGGCCGTTCCCTGGGTCACCCACGCAGCTCACACCAACAAAAAACACCTCTTCTCTCCACCCCTTCCTCGTCCCCATCTCTACTTCGTCCTATTCACATACGCCATCCCAAACTGCACAAGTCCAATACTCGCCAACACACTCAATCCCGTCGGAAGCGGTTTGAATCCCGTCTTGATCGCTCGAGGGAAACTCGAGCCCGCGAGCACGATGGAGGCCAGCAATGCCAATTCAACTCCATATGCGGCTTTTTGTTGTAGTCGATAGCCTCCCAGTAAGTACAAAGCGCCCACTGTACAGCCTGCTACTACGGAAGGGATGGAACCGGTTCGGACGTATCCGGTGATTCCTCCGCCCGAGGTTAGGAGGCCGAGGATTATGGCGGTGGTGCTGAGAGACTGAAGGGTGGGTTAGTGAGGGTTGGTGAGCAAGGTGAGGTGGGGGGTAGGTACCATGATGGGTTGCTTCTGAGGGGGTTGGCGTTGTTTTGTTGTTGACATGTATTTGGCTGATCTGATGTTCGCGATGAGGGGGGCTTGTTATGAGTGTTGTAGTAGCGGTGTTTAAGTGAGTGCTATGGTCGTTGCTTACCTCTCGAGATACCTCGGAGCGTGCATAGATCCGGGAAAAGTAACTAGGGCAAAACTTGCCGGCTTGCCGGTATCCGAGCGCGCGTCAACTCAAGCCAGCTGGTTGGAGCTCTCCCTAGCAGCGCAGCATTGAATCCGATCCAAATGAACCACATCCTCAACACCTCCACCTCGACACCACGACAGCAATAGCAAACAACCATGCCACCACGCAAATCCACCTCACCCAGCGCCTCCCTCAAACCCAACCCCCCAAAACCCACCAAACCCTCCACCCCTCGCGCCTCACCCACCTCCATAAAAACCGCCCAAAACGCCCAAAAAATCCTCCAAGGAATCTGGAACAACTACCTCACCAGCACTCCTCAAAGAGTAAAACTCATAGACTTCTTCCTAGCCTTCCTAATCCTCGTCGGAGCCTTACAATTCGCGTATTGCGTTTTGGCTGGGAACTACGTAAGCCAAAAACAAAAAGAGGGAGAAAGAAAGAGAGAGAGAGGCTGACTTTTTGATGATTAGCCTTTCAACGCCTTCCTCTCAGGTTTCAGCGCAACAGTAGGACAATTTGTTCTCACGGCGAGTTTGAGAATGCAGACGAATCCGGAGAATCAGAAGGATTTTGAGAAGATTTCGCATGAGAGGTACGTATTTATCAACAACCTGGAGAGGAATACACAAGGCGATGATGTATGGGGGTTTTCACTGACGTGGAATTATCTTGTTACAACAGAGCGTTCGCGGACTTCGTTTTCGGGAGCATGATTTTGCATTTCTTCTGCGTCAACTTTATCAACTAGATGTTAGTTCGAAATGACGAGACGAGAGTTGCAAGAGATGATCCACCGCGCGAAGAAGCATATCGGTACGGTTGGGCGACAAGGGCATGGGAAGATTGGCCGAGATGCGTAGGCGTCTAGGGACGGAACCGCATCACCGCGAAATCCGCGACCAGATAATTATGAGAACAGGTCGCGGATAAGTGGTGGCCTGACACGAAAGAAAGCATTGAGACGACGGCAGATCTGGCGGTCAAGATTATAGACACTTATCGACCGATATGCTAGCATGAGGGTCCAGCGCTCATGTCAAATTGCATGGTAGACATGCTATTCTTTCATGATCACTTTCTATGCTTGTATCATCACTGACAACATCATCACCTGCAAGTTCATTCCGCATCCGCATCTCTAGTACATGCATTTTGTAACGTTTAATACGTTCCGAGTCTTCTTTTCTTTTGATTAGGTGAGGAAACATCGCTTTGAGAACCTCTCTCAACAAGTCCGGCGAAAACCAAGACCTATTGCTCCACGACATTAGCATGGCTGTACACTACGGAGATCTGCCTTACGCAGAAGCTCCAGAAATGTAGAACCACTTGTCAATAGATGGGTCAATTGGTGCTGGTGCCTTCTCCTCGTGAGCTGGAATGTTCAGCTTGGATGGGTCGACACGGTCCTGGCTGTGTGGCACAGAGACGTTGGTGCTGCAGGAAATGTCAATTTCAGAATCCTCACATCTCACTCCGACATCGGCGACTTACAGGTTGATTTCTCCCTTTGGAGTCTTTCCAGTGATGAGCTTCTCCCAAGCCTCAGCACACTCGCGAACGATATCCATGGCGTACTTCCTATTCTTGCACTCGCCGGAGAAAGCGAACTGGTTCTCTGGCTTGCCATCTGGGATCTTGTAGATGCGGAACCACTCGTTCGTAGCGCGGAGAAGGCCTGGAAGGTGACGCTCGACATCCTCAATATCGTTAAGCTTGGGGGCAAGCGGGTCGTTCACGTCAATGACAATGATCTTCCAGTCGGTCTCGCCCTCGTCAAGGAGAGCCATGACACCGAGGACTTTGACCTGCTTGACCTCACCTGGCTTGGCAACCAGTTCACCAATCTCGCAGACATCAAGTGGGTCGTTGTCACCCTTCTGCTTGGTCTCTGGGTGAGTGACATTTGGGTCTTCCCATGTCTGTGGGAATGCGCCGTAGTTCCAGAGGTAGCCCTTGTGTGGGAAGCAGTTGCGGACGAATCGCAGCTTGCCCTTCTTGGTATCTTGCTTGATTGGGTTGAGCTCCTCGTCCTTGGAGATCTGTCGTGGTCGCCATGTCAGTCCATGCAATTGGTGAGCGGGGTATAGTTATCTCTTCACACACCTCTTGCTTGGCATTGGTCCAGCGTGGGATCTCAACGACCATGTTCAGGATAGTCTGCTGCTCGTTGGCATACAGAGGGATATCGTGGAAAGGCGAGACCTGTAAGATGCAGGAGTTAGTATCATATTCTACAATCAACAACATGTAAAAGTGCATTGCCGATTCAAGAGGCCGTGCATTTCTGGAGGCAGTTGTTCCAGCACGTCAAAAGAGACTCTGGCTGACCGGCAATGCAATTTTTGTTTCCGACCACAATGCATTCAGATCTCCCACTTACAGGAACGCCATTCTTCTCAATGTAGATTCTGTGCTCAAGAGTGTGTGGGGCTCCAACTTTGCGAGGAGTGTAGACGGCAGCGGCCTTTGGATCAAAACCGCCGCGGGAAGGAAGTGAAGTCTGTGCCATGGTCGTGGTACTGTATGAATTGGCAGAAGATGTATGTGATGAAAGGTGGTCGTACAGTTGTCGAGACCGACTGTTCGCTTGGATAATTTTGTTGTTGACGTTTCCAGCCCCACCACCAGGTCCCGCCGCAGACATTACTCGTGCCGAAAACCAGCGGGACGTTACACCTGCCGATGTAGGCCAGCTTCCTCTCACAAACGGTCCTGATGGTCCTGGCAGGCTCGACAGGCGAGTGGCAGTGGCGCGTCTCAACACGCTCGTTAGATTAGGAGCGGTGTGCAGGCGAAACGGATTCATGCATGCAAGCTCGAAGATACAAATCGTAATATGGAAAGGATGCTGCCGGCGGCGATGCAGTGGACCGAGGGTGATGGGAGAGAAGCCCTGGATGTTTCTTTTTCGGACTGTTCTCGGGCGGCTCGCGCACGGAGCAGCCGGCCGAGAGCATGTGAACATGCCAACATGATGAACATCGCCAGGCTGGGGAATCTGAAACTGAATGGTAGCAGAATCAATGGGAGACATATACTCAGTACATTTGTCGTCATTTGCCAGGGAATATCGTCAATATTGGGATATCAATACAATCTGTTTGGCCTCCAAAAGGCTGAAAAGTCATTGGAAGCATCCTCTTCAACTATTGCTCCATCAGGTTCATGAACAAGAGTTTCGGGTATCGTCGAGAGTTCCTCGTTCCAAGACTTTAGCGGAACGGGATCCCCCTCGAACCCCTCTTCGTACACCGAGTCGCCAACATGAGGCGTGGGGTCTTCAGGTACGGCGTTGTAGAAATTCGGAACCCGGTCGAAAGCAAGTCCTCGCACCAAGTCTTCGGCACGATGAGCATTTGCATTGATGTGTCTGCTATCCAGGAAATTGAAGTGGTCTGCCGGAAGAAGATCCAGCATGTCATCGTCGGCGACCGATCTTCCCAAAGTTTTAGAAGACACTTGCCCTGTCGTTGCTGGTGACGGTTGCCATGAAGCCAAAGGCTGGGGCCGACACATGTTTGTCGAAATAGGCCGGATTACACGTCCCTGCCGCTGAGGTAGCGACCTTGTCTCTGCTAGACTGAAACCTCTGTGTGGGGCTGGTATATGGGTCGATCGGGAGACTGGTTGAGCTTGATCTGCTCGTCCAACGAACCCGGGACCAGGACAAATAATCGGTTGCTTGTCCGTGGACTCGGGGACATCTCTTTGGCCAATGCCATCCAAAGTATCAAGCTCCAACGCAGGACGAGACTGTAAGTTGTCTTCTTCACAAGGCCTGTTGATGGCTTTCAGCGCGCTGCGCAGGATGTCGCTCGAGGGTGTGGCCGTTCTTGGATCATCGTTCTCTTTTCCCCCTATCACTGGAGTTCTCTTTTGAACCAGGTTCGTAGAAGACGAAAGACGATTCACTGGCTTCGGTCGCCGCATTTTCAGTATGTCAGAAGTATGGTAACAGTTTGAGCCAAGATGTGAGGCAGAGTCAGTGTGTCGTCGTCTAGGAGCCGGGCTCTCAGCCACAGGTAAAGGTTGAGACGACTCAAAGGCACTGGATCTTCGTTGATGCATTCCATGGAGGGTCTTACGACGTGACTGCTGAGACTGACGCGTTTGATTGTGCACTGCGTCTGCCAGTGTTCGCCTTTGACCTTTGCCGTCTCCTTTGCGCTCGTACTGGTGAAGACGAGATTCTGCTTGTCTCTGAGAAGCCTTTGGCTGCGGGGGATCCGACTCCGACCAAGTGTAGTATGACTTGCTAGTATTGTGCGCTCCGGAAGGCTCAGGTTGCGGACCTCTACTTCCGAAGCCCAGAAAAGCTGCCTCAGCCGGCGGCGCTACATCAGCGACGTTGGCTGATCGCCCCTCAGGTTGGCCGATCACTGGTTCCTTTGTACTAGCGATGTGCGATGCATCCTTTTCACTTTGCTCTGCAACTCCCGGTCGTTTGAAATAGGCAGAGATTTCTTCATCGCGAATGTCCTTGCGACTCTTTTTGATCGGCTTCTTTGCTTCGCGCCGTGGCAGCTCGTCCTGATGCTCTCTTGGTCTCTGCAAGAATTTCATCTCGTTGAAGACAAGATCAGGTACTAATGCTCTCGTCAGACCAAGTGTAACTTCCATCATCATGGTGACCAGCTACACTTACACCCGGCACCAGTGGCCACCACCGGCGCAGATGCACGGCCATGCTTGAAGATGCCTCCATTCGCTCCAGGTCGCAGCTTGGAATCATCTTAGCACACCGCCTCGAGAATGCTCCAACTGGGACACTCACTGTGAGACGTTCGTTCTTCAGACCATGGTTCAGCTGAAAGCTCTGAATCAGTCCAGCCGTACGCGCCCCGTCGCCGCTGCGGTGGCTCTTGCGACGTTTCGACTTGTCCTTCTTCTCGTGATCCTTGCGCGGCTTCTTGATCTTGGCATCATAGCGGTCAGGCTTAGTCTTATGCCGTGCGCGACGTTCATAGGACTTGACTGGAAGCCGAGCGAAGGCCGAGACACTAGCATTCCGACTTTGCGAAGAGTTGCTGGTACTGTGCGAACTGGCCGTATCCTCATGTGCAAGCCGTACGTGATCGGAGCTGGACGCTGCCTGAACCCACTTCAGACGAGCCTTTCCCTGAACTCCTCCAGGAGGATCGCTCGATGCGCGCTTTCTCTTCAAGCGATGCTTGGTGCGTACGTTCTGGAGGTTCGCGTTTTGCTGCGGCTTGAGGAACTCAGGGAAGCCTGGGTGGTCGTGTTCGTCTGGTGGTTCCCTGTCGGCTGTGTTCTGCAGCCACTCTCTGATATCCATCGGCAAGGGATCATTGGGTAAATGCAGAAGACTGACCAGGATGCCGGGAAAGAATGCTACCTGTGTAGTATGACCACGACCGGTCGTCGATTATCGCTGCTGCTGTAACGAAAGTGACATGCAGTAGTCAAATCCTCACCGACGTTTTGGACCAGCTTGTTCCGTCGCACAAATCCTAGAAGCCATCAGTGGGTCACACAGTGTTAGCGATGGAGCAATCTGGACCATTCCATTGCAAGAGAAGTCACATCTGAGACTGGCGCTGGCTGGGAAGGGACTCATCGCACTTGCCATTGCAAGAATGCGAAGGCATTGAGCGAAACGGCGACCGCGATCGCGACTACGCGACGCAACTACATTCGGCAATATGTGAACAACCCTGCGCGCTTCATGCTTTATACGCTTTCAGAAGTTGCTCTTTTTTCTAAGCGCGAACGCGTGAAGTCTCGGCATGTTGCACAGCAAGCCGGCTCGAGGCAGGCCGCACACAGAGAGATGGCAGTCTTTTCTAGCAACCCTGTCATGGCTGCGATCCTTCGCGTCGCAGATATTGGGCTCGATATGCCGGGTATGCTTGATCTCATCGCTGATGCTGATGCTGAGCTGAGCTCTTGCTGCCCGACGCCTTGTGAGACTACTCGCCAACCTCGAGCCGATCTCATCAGGGATGCCGCCACGCACGCTTCGAGCACGTTCTGCACTCACGCACTTTCTAATGCATATTAGGAGCGACGGAAAGCACGACTGCAGAGACGCGGTCGCATGATCGGTCTTTGATATCCGGCCGAGCAGCATGTAGTCTGCAGGTGTGATGAAAACGACGTTGTTGATCGTGCAGTGCAGTGGGAAAAGAAGAGTTTCGTTTTGGCTTGGAAACTCAAAGCTGCGCCACTTGTGTTTTAGCGAGAAGCCGGAAAGCGTGAACCGAGCCTTGCCTTGCCTTGCCACCACCGTCGACGGTCGCACCGAGAAGATTGATGATTGGTGAAGATTACCCTCTTGTTGTTTGCTCGGTATGGGCCGGAGCAGAGTCCAGAATCCAGATGGCCAGGCCAGGCCAGGCCAGGCGTGGTGGACTGCTGCCCGGGCGTCGTGCAGGCCGTTTTCTTGCACAAGCTGAAGGGAGACGGCCACGGCCATTCGCGCATACATGACGCGCGATATATACATATACTTGCATACCGCGGTACCAACCCAAAACCAAGGGGAGCTCGGCATCGAATGCATGTCCTACGACGCCACCCATGGCTGAATACAGCGTCCTGCCTGCCAGCTACTGCAGCGCTACTGTCCGAGCCAGTGACGAGCCGCATTACATCGCTAGCACGGGACAGCGACGGACGAGTTGGAGCAGCGTTGCGCGAAAATCGAGCTCTCCACTGCATATCACTGGTCTAGAGCTGCATGTGAGACCTTAGACAACCTGCCCCGCTGACCACTCATGACACACAGGGTAGCTCTGCCGCTTTCTTCAGCTGCTCAGTGCTCGCTATCGACGGGACCGAATGCAGCCCAATCGTAGCCGCGCTGGTTGAGTCGATGCCTTGCGGCGGAGCGTTCCATCGGCAGCGGAAGATCACGTCCGGTTGGGTGTGGGAGAGGTATGCCAGCGGAGCTACGCTTTGCCTGCGCATTACTGAGGGGCACTTGATACCGCTGCTGGAGCCCCTCTATCTACATCCGCGTTCCAACTTTTTGCTCTGCCGTTGGCGTGCTCCTTTGCGCGGTTTGACGTCCCGGTTCTTGCTGTCTCGCGCGCCACCTGACGTTCTTCTTCCAAATCCGCTCCTCTTCACAGACCTCCTGCGCGACCTCCACCACTACACGTCGGCAGTCAGCACAGCGACCTGGTCTCTCCGTCGCCGCCTTCCCTCACCGATACACCTTATCAACACAAGTAGTAGTTCGACTGCCACGTGCGCATCCTTGCCGCTGGCGCCTGAGTGCATGTGACCAACTTCCAAGCTTCCACTCAGCAATCTTACTCTTTTCGCAAACACCACCCTTCAACAACTACGAGTCATCAGCAACATCTGCATCAACTTGATCCGCGCAGCATCAGTGCGGTTCGAACGTGAGCGACACGGCCTCAGTGTGTTACGGTCTGATCCATTCGGTCCTTACCTAGAGTGACGACGATCTGCGATGTCGAAGCTATTCATCGGGTTTGTGACGTCGTCATCACCTGTGATGCGCTTCATTGTTGACGGCGAGTTGCAGCGGCCTGGCATGGCATACCGATGACCAGACTTTGCGCACCAAGTTCGAGGAGTTCGGTCAGGTCGATGAGGCTGTGAGTTTCATCATTCTTGAACGGCGCAATCAAAACCGCTAACGTGCGCTCGACAGGTCGTGGTAAAGGACCGCGATACTGGTCGCAGCCGCGGCTTCGGTTTCGTGCGCTTTGCTGAAGATGCCGCTGCCGACTCGGCTATCGCAGCGATGAACAACGTCGAGTGAGTACACACCGGCTGGACATATCTGCCGCGCGATCCACTGACTTAGGCGACCAGATTCGATGGACGCACCATCCGCGTCGACAAGGCTTCTGATCGAGGCAGCGGCGGCGGCGGTGGTGGAGGCGGCTTTAGCGGTGGCCGCGGTATGTCGAGCATCCAGTCCAGCGCATTCCATTCCGAGCCTCAACTAATTTCCCTCTTCTAGGTGGCTACGGCGGCGGAGGCTACGGCGGCGGCCGTGGAGGTTATGGCGGAGGTGGTGGCTATGGAGGCCAACAAGGCGGCTATGGCGGCCAGGGCTATGGTGGCGGCCAAGGCTACGGTGGAGGCAACTGGTACGCCTTATCATGAAGCAGACCTGCGAAATACCGCTAACCACTCTTCAGGCGCCAAGGCGGCGGTGGAGGCTACAGCCAGCAGGGTGGATTCCAAGGCGGCCAGGGTATGTCCGGGTTCAAAGCTGCATAGAGGAGCTCGTTGCTAACTTCCCACAGAAGGCGGTTATCAGCAGCAGCCTAATGGCGGCGGCTATGCTCAGCAGCAGGGAGGCGGTGGCTGGCAGTAAGCCTGGCCGGAGCATACCATTACTGTCCTCTCGCAGGGACATTCGCCACGGGTTAGATGGCAAGAAGGATACTCTCATTTGAGGTGGATGATTCTCAGAATGCAAGCAGCATGGGATCTTGGAACGGAGCAAGTACTGAATTTTCCTCTTGGGGCAACGGCAGCGACAGCCGTATCGAAGTGTCTCCCGACAGGGCGACTGTTTGTGGTGATTCGGAATGATACCCGTTTTGCAGCAAAATGGTAGCTGGGCGTACTGGTATGGCCCGTAGTCTGCAATGAGCAACGTCAATGACATGAAGTCTAAATTGTCTTGTCCGCCGCGCAGCAGCAGTGTCCGTGATCGCCATCGGTAGTGTGACTCGGGTGAGGTGTGTTCCTGACCAAACGACCGGGTAGGCATATGCACGTGGAGAGAGCATGTGGAGATCAAGCAAGTTGACAAGCTTCTGAAGATCTCCGAATTTTCTACCAGCCGGGACGCCCAAGACGCCATATTCTACCATGCCATTTTTGCCTCTCTTTCACATACGCCCCACACCGAGCACTGCGCTGCACTGCACTGCATTATTAAGATGATCGTCTCTGCACGATAAGCCCAACCTTGCGTCTTCACTTCTGCCACAATCATGACGACGCCTCCAAGCCCGCCTGCGCTGAAGTTCACTGGATCCAGGCATCTTGTCCAGCGTCTTGTGCTCGCGACCTTGACGGGCCGGCCAGTGCGGATTTCCCAGATCAGAGCCTCATCGCACACCGCCCCAGGTCTCGCACCGCATGAGGTCTCGTTCCTGCGACTGCTTGACGCGATCACCAATGGCAGCCAAATAGAATTCTCCTACACCGGCACCACAGTCCTCTACAAGCCCGGTCTGATCACAGGCAGCGTCACCGGCCATGGCGCGTCGGGAGGAGTAATCCGACATGAGCTGCCTGCCGACTGCACGCGCGGTGCCAGCTACTTTCTGATCCCATTATGCCTCCTGGCGCCATTTTCGAAAGCCCCAGTGAACGTGCTCCTTACTGGACCAGGTGTCATCACTTCGGCCACACCCACTGGTGATGTCTCGGTTGACACAGTGAGAACGGCCATACTGCCGCTCTTTAAGAGCTATGGCATCGACAGGAATTTGGAGCTGAGGATTTTGCGGAGATCGAATCCAGGCGCGAATGGCAAAGGTGGTGGAGGAGAGGTGCAGCTAATATTTGGACATCAAGTCAGGCTTCCCAAGACAATACACATTCTAGACGCCGGACGAGTCAAGCGAGTGCGAGGCGTGGCGTATGCGACTGGCGTGGCAGGCGCGAACAACGCGCGAATGATTGAGGCAGCAAGAGGTGTGCTGAACGAGTTCGTGCCGGACACATACATTTACTCCGACGTCAGTTCAGCACCTCTCATTCCTGCGCCCGAAAGGAATAACGCCAATGCGAAGAAGAAGATCGGGCTAGGCTTTGGGCTGAGCTTGGTAGCAGAGTCGAACACGAACGTACTATATTCTGCGGACGTTGCGAGCGATCCAAACGGTGGAGAAGTGCCAGAAGATATAGGCAGGAGATGCGCATATCAGCTATTGGAGGCTACTGCACAAGGAGGCTGTGCGTCGAACATATCAGCTCCCATGATGCTGACTATGATGGCAATGGGAAGTGAAGATGTGGGTCGCTTGACTTTGGGCAAAGAAGTGTTGGGCACAGAGCAGGTCATACAGCTCGCAAGAGACTTGCGAACATTCGGTATGAGTGGCTGGGGCTTGAAGGAAGATGAAGATGAAGAGGCTATAGTGAGCATTGTTGGAAGAGGTGTGGGCAACGTGGGCAGGAAGATTGCTTGAGGACTCTCGAGAATACTCGACACCTTGTTCGAACGCTCGCTGGTATCACGTGGCTGGAAATGACACCATTCGCGCGTGCGGTGAACTGTCGCTTTTCAGGGCCAATCACGATAAAGGGTTGCGCGTGTCTGCACATGCAAAACCTCACCTGGCTTCAGTTTAAAGCGGCGCAACATTCATTATCCGATCTCGCCCTGAACAACAACTTTACGGAAACGTCACATAGTGCAACTTCGTAAAGATTCCTCGCGCACCAGAGTGTTCCGCCGACTGCCATTATCTCCGAGCCAACTAAAACAGCATCTTGAGGCCGCCTCCAAAATGGAGAGCGACGACATCGAAATGGAAGATGCGGACCAAGAGCAAGAATTTTCGCATCAAAAGGAAGATGGATTTCCGTCGCGCGATGTCGATCACATTCTGGAGGCGATTACGGAGCCGCAGAAGCAGAAGGAAGAAATCAGCAACAAGCCAGATCACCTTGTCGAGTCTCACGGCCCACCTCACATCACCGAAAACCCTGGATTCGAAGTCGGTAGCGTCCATCAGACTAACGCTGTTGAGTCTGGACCCGGTGAGCATTCACATATTTCCGAGGTGGGCGAGACTTGCAAGTCTGCAGATATCTCACCTGAGTTAAATCCGGCCTTCACAACGAAGCTGCGAGACCCTGCAGTCAAGTGCAAATGCCCTGCTGGCACTCTACGTCGGCGTAAGGATATGGTCTTCACGGGGGATCGCGATGGCATGCTTACCTGGATGCATCTTCCCTGCAAGCCATACTTAGCAGAAGTACCTGAGGAGTTAGTGGCTAGAATTCGAGAGAGAATCAAGCTGGTGACAGCAAACCCAGATGGTCTCAGCACTAGTGTCCAAATGCAGAATATACTCCTCCGCATACTAGGCTCCAATGCAACCGAACAGCAGAAGAAAAAGGTTGCAAACATTGTCTCAACGTATCGTTGCGATCCGCCTTGCCAGGGCTCGAAAGACAAGAAGGATTATTTTTGCTGCAAGAAGTGCTGGGCCTGGCAGCACAAGAATTGCATGCTCTATGGCGACAGAGGCGATCATGGCGGACCTGTATGCAATCATTGCTACGTCCACTTCATCAGCATCCAGAAGGAATTGAGAGCTTGGCAGCAAATGCGTCTTTGCTCGGCAGCTAAAGCAGCTTTCAAGTTCATTCGCAACCCGGCGAACTTGCGTGATGAAGGGCGATTTGCAGTCGCCGAGAAATTCCTCAAACGTCTACTCACTAAGGTAAGCTTCCTCCGAGAAGATATGCAACATAGCCACGCTGACAGTTTCACACAGAATCGAGGCTTTCTCGAAAAGTTCGTTCTGGCGCGGCGCCGAATTCAGTATCTTGTTCAAAATCGCCGCGAGCTCCAACGCCAAGCTGCTATCGTGTCCCGACTATACCCAGGCACAAAGCCTGGTGCTAAGAAGCCAGCTCGTCAAACGATCAAGCGTGAGAATACTCCAGAAGAGACACCAACTACTGCTGCACCTTCGAATGCACTGCCCTCGACGCCGGCGCCTTCTACCTCCACCGCTGCCGATCCAATGGAAGTGGACGCGCCTGTCAACGTGGACAACACCACCACCATGGAGCTCGACGAAGACACCATCGTGGTTCGGCCAAGGACTCCTGCCGTGACGAGCAGGGCGACGCGTTCCAGTGCTGCAAAGTCGGCAATTGTGCCTAAGCCTGCGAGTAAGGCAACTCGCCCTTCCTTGCCGGCACCATCGCAGGCGAAAGCGAAGAGTAAAGGCAAGGTCAAGAAGGAGAAGACACCTCCGCCGTCGGACTCTGAAATTGATGCTCTGCCTGCACCACTCCGGAAGAACTGGGAACTCTCGCAAAAGCAGGTCTCAAAAGCTCCTCGCAAGTCTGTGAGACAGTCTGAGCGACCGACGACCTATAGAGAGCCTCAACTGGAGCCTGAGTGGGAAGATGAGGAGAACGAAGAGGACCAGGCGTCATCCAATCGTCAGACACGAGCTCGCACAAGTAGCACCTATGAGGAATTGATGCCGCGTCAAGCTCCCAGCCGGCGAAACGAGAAGACGATTCAGGATGAAGAAGACGGTAAAGAACACCAAGACGAAGAAGAGGAGTTCGAAATCGCCTGTACCTGCATTGGTATTATGCCGAAGCTGAGCGAGACTTTCCGCTGTGGCGTGTGCGGCAATCATTCTCATCTCAAGTGCAGTCGCGACAGTCTGGGTGTACCAAGCTGTGCATTTTGCAAGCCTCGAAGGAACCCAAAGAAGCCACGTCCCAGTCAGCAATCACCCAAAATGCCGCCTCCATCTAAACCAAAGCGCGATCTAACAACCACGCCTGTTCCACCTCCTGGATCTACTCCAGTTCCAAAGATCGAAAACACTCCAGCCCCCTCAAACCCCCCAGCTCAATCCCTAAGCGAAGAAATGAAAGAAGAAGTCCACCAGATCTGCTCCACATACCTTTGGAAAACGTGGGTGGACATTCCAGTCCGCGAGGAGGCAGACGGCGAGTCCAAGCAGAAATACCACGCCAGTGACCCGCCACCAGCCGAATGGGTGACGGCCGTTGAAGTTGGCCTTACCGGTATGCTTCAGGCTGCTGGCGAAGAAATGACTCGTGCATATCTCAATCCGGTCATGGAGCAGTATCCCCGTAGGAGGGAGGCTATCGTCAAGGTCCTTCGAGAGATTACAATTGCTGTCTGCCATCATGGTGCTTGGAAAGGGAAGGGCAAGAGGAAACTTGGGGTTTTTGCAGAAATCGTGGGATTTGCTGAGAAAGGGGAGATTTGGAAGGGTGAGAAGTGAGGGAGATGGAAATTTGCTTGGTTTGGGGAGTGCGTGATGTTGAAGGTTTGCCGCGTTGAAATCAGCGCGACTTCTTCCGTCGGTGCAGTGAGAAAGAAATTGGGTAGTTTTGAGTTGTCTTTTGAATAGGCATGTCTGACTTGGATTTCGATATCGTGGGAAGCAGGAATCGAACACCAGAGACGTCTCTGCTTTTTTTTTTTCTGCTTTTGCCTGCTTCTTACTTGAATATGCCCATTTCCAAAGTCAGATTCAGTGATTCCCCCTTAGGTAGTACCTAAAGCTTCACTGCTCTAACACGGAATGTGAATTTTACCGGCCGATCGTGAAAGAAGTTGGACTAGCCAGCCTCTGCAATCGTCTAGACTCGTCCATCCATTATTGAGTTGCTAGTGATGACATGCTTCAGTGCTGCGATGGCCAATTCTTTTCCTCGATCAATGTCTCTACAGTCATTGAATGACCAGGGCGTGCGTGAGGCTGCGAACCACAGCGTCGAAGCTTCGAGGACATCCTTTGCTCCTTCTACAGGCTCGGTTGAACTCCGGCTGCGGCCCGAGAAAAGTATTGCGATCCAGTCCCGACGACGCATTTACTTTTGGTCTGCAATCACTCTGAAGCCAATTCTACACCTTGAATACGATCTAGACAACAGCTTCGTCGTTCGCGATGAGCTTGGCATCACCTGCGATAATAACGAAAGCCTCCGCGCCACTGCGCGTGTTGGCGACGAGGACACCTACAACCAGACTGTATCATCAAGATCATCGAGAACCATGCCTTCATCAGAGAACATACAGCAATCAATACCATCGCCCGCGATTATCCCCCTCTCGGAGAACAAACCATGAACGGATACATCATCAGACACGAAGCTTTCACGCCTCCCATCCAGCTTTCGCAATCAAAGACCCATATGCTTCCCTGGGTGTAGGCAAAAGCGCCTCAGCGTCGGAAATCAAGAAAGCATACTATGGCCTCGCGAAGAAATATCATCCAGACACGAACAAAGATCCCAAAGCGAAGGAGAAATTTGCAGAAGCGCAATCTGCATACGAGATTCTGAGCGATGAAAAGAAGAAAGGAATGTATGATCAATATGGCTCGGCAGCTTTCGATGCGAATGGCGAAGCTGGATTCAATCCTGGCGCAGCAGGCGCTGGAGGTGGAAACCCATTCGGTGGAGGCAATCCGTTTAGTGGATTTGGAGGTCAAGCAGGAGGATTCGGCGGGCAAGGTGGATTTGGGGCAGAATTTAATTTTGAAGATCTGTTCTCTGCGTTTGGGGCGGGCGGTGCAAGGAGAGGAAGGGGAGGTAGAGGGCCGTTTCAAGAGGAGGTCATGGTGGGTGAGAACATTGAAGTGCAGACCAATATATCGTTTATGGATGCTGCAAAAGGTGTGCATAAGGACATCACAATCACACCATTGGTGCAATGTAAAACTTGTAATGGCAGTGGCCTGAAGAAGGGCAAGAGCAGGAGTGCCTGTCGGACTTGTGATGGCACTGGCACAAGAATACACTTCATGCAGGGAGGATTTCAGATGGCGAGCACTTGCGGGACATGTGGCGGCACTGGTTTGCAAGTAGCAAGAGGAGCAGAATGTGGCACATGTAAGGGCAATGGAGCTGTAAGAGAACGGAAGACTGTTACAGTGGACATTCCAGGTGGTGTAGAAGATGGCATGCGATTGCGAGTGATGGGCGAAGGAGACTATCCACCAACTGGACAAGCTGCGAACCCGGATGCAAGATCAACGAAGGGAGACCTGTACGTCTTCATTCGTGTTGCGCCAGATTCGAAGTTCCAGCGCAGCGGCTCGGATGTACTTTACACGGCCAGCATTCCGCTCACGACTGCCATACTTGGAGGCGAGATTACAGTGCCGACTCTGGACGGAGACGTCAAAGTCAAGGTTGCGACGGGCACTGGCACCGGTGACAATATCACGATGGCTGGCATGGGTATGAAGAAGCTCAACTCACGGCGAGGCACCAATGGCGACCTAAGAATTGAGTTCAAGGTCCAAATGCCAAAATATCTATCGGTCAACCAAAGGACCATTGTCGAGATGCTGGCAGATGAGATGGGAGACAAGAACGCCAAGCGTGTGATGAACCTGAACAAGACGATGAAGGAGGGTCCAGCAGAATCTAGCGCATCATCGAAGCCTTCAGCATGGACGCAGAAAGACGACCACAAAGATGAGGGCTTTCTGAAGAACTTCTGGCATAATATTTCTGGACAGCATGACGATTCGAAGAAGGAAGAGCAAGCTAAGAAGAGAAACGAGGACGAGCCCCCAAAGAAGGCATCTGGATCCGGTTCAGGCTGATGGTGAGAGCTGGAGGTGAGACAGCGTACAGGTTTTGCATTGCCGGGGTTTGAGCGTTTGTCGAAATGGGATAGCAGTACTCACGAGTATATGCATGGCGAAGGGCCGGCTGGAAGAAGAGTGTACAGTAGCAGCATCATTCGTCACTGTCTTGACCGGACATCTCGACTCTTGCTCGTGTAGAGTAGAACTGGATAGTGTATCCAGAAGTGTACAGAAATGATCATGGTTTATTCACAACTTGACCGGGATGCATGAAGCGCGGCATTTAGGCGCCGGCGCGGATGATGTAGGTGTCGGCGGCTAGCAAGAGTTGCGAGAGTCGGTCTTCTGGTATTGACTGGAGTCTCGCACTTTGACGCCGAGGCTGTGCTGTGCTGTGCTGTGGTGATAAGCGCTTGACTATGGCATGCGTGCACTCCGAAAAGCAAGAAGGTGATGGTGTGGTGTAGGAAGTAGAGTGTTCTAGAGTAGCGAGGATAAAGTCAAGGCGGCTGCTTGCTCGTGGCCCCACCCAAGTAGGCAGTAGAATACTCATGCGCATACAACGTCACACTCGGAGTGCAGGTTGAGAATACATGCCCACCGACGCCAGCACAGCACTCGAGCAGCAGACAATCAGCAGAACTATACCGACGGTTACGCATCGAGAGACGCAACAGCAAGAGCGGAACAGATTGGGACTGCCACCAAAAAGCCACTGGTAGCACAACACTCGGCCAGGAATCGATCTAGTTGTTCTAATGCAGGCGCAGGTGTAGGTGCCTTATGTCCTGTGATGGCTTGGCTGTAGACAAGTGAACCTACGAACCGAAGCGCATAATTCTCACGACATCGTCGATTCATGCTTCTCACCCGCCCTGGCCTGTCCAGGCAGCTCTCCGCCGCCGCCATGCAGGTCCCAATGATCTCCTGCCCGCTCAAGCAGACCAACGAAATCGACTGGATAGCGCCCCTCAAGCACCACATCCGCAACCACTACCAAGACGATGCCGAACGCTACAACGATGAATGCGCCCAGCTCAACCGCCTCCGACAAGACATGCGAGGAGCAGGCAAGGACAGCGCGGCGGGAAGAGACCTTCTATACCGATACTACGGTCAGCTAGAACTGCTCGATTTGAGATTTCCCGTCGACGAGAACCATATCAAGATCAGCTTTACCTGGTTCGATGCCTTTACACACAAGCCCACAAGTCAATTCTCATTGGCCTATGAGAAGGCGAGCATCATATTCAATATCTCTGCTGTGCTGTCTTGCCATGCGGCCAATCAAAATCGACATGAGGATACGGGGTTGAAGACGGCGTATCATAGTTTCCAGGCCAGTGCGGGAATGTTCACGTACATCAACGAGAACTTCTTGCATGCACCTTCGACCGATTTGAGTCGAGAGACAGTCAAGACCTTGATCAGTATCATGCTAGCACAGGGCCAAGAGGTGTTCATCGAGAAGCAAGTCGTAGACAAGAAGAAGCCGGGTCTGATTGCGAAGCTCGCAGCTCAGGCGGCATATCTGTATGCGCAAGCCGTAGAAGGTGTGCAGGAAAATGTGAGCAAAGCTGTATTTGAGAGGGTGTGGCTACTTGTCACGCAGATCAAGCAGCATCATATGGCGAGCGTTGCGCAGTACTATCAGGCTGTGGCAGATTACGAGGCGAACAATTATGGACAGGCGATCAGTCGACTGATGGCAGCTCAGACGGCTGTGAAAGAAGCGAGTAGGCTGGCCAACGCCTTTCCCGGAAGTGTGCCGGCGACCAGCAATCTAGGCTCAGAGACAGGAACGATACTCGCGGACATGACGAAGAAACAGCAAGAGAGCATTGTGGAGCTGCTCGCCGAGTACAATCGGGACAATGACATGATCTATCATCAGCCTGTACCATCAGAGACGAATCTGCCGAGCATACCGAAGCTACCTGCTGCGAAGGCGATTCCCGTATCTGAGCTGTATCAAGGACAAGATATCCAGCGGATCATTGGGCCTGATATATTTCAGCGGATTGTGCCCATGTCCGTCACAGAAAGTGCGAGCTTGTATGATGAGGAGAAGGCGAAGATGATACGCGCCGAAGCTGAGCGAGTAGAGACTGCCGACAGCGAATTGGCAACATCGTTGGACTACCTTAAACTGCCAGGAAGCCTGAACATCCTTAAAGGCGCCGTTGACCAGGATTCGATGACAGTCGATGATGACTTCAGGAACTGGTGTACGGAGCTGGCTGGTCACAACCCGTTCGGACCAGTTTTCGATCAACTACGCGAAGATAAGCAGACGATCTTGTCAACTTTGGATAATAGTCTAAAGCAACTGGATATGGAAGAGTCAGTGTGCGAAAAGATGCGAAGCAAGTATGGGCCGGAATGGACGCAGCAACCTTCGAGTCGACTAACACAAACACTGCGCACCGACGCAAGAAGCTATAAGTCTGCTGTGGAAGAAGCTTCGACAAGTGATGCGCAGCTGTACGGCACATACAGGCAGTATGAGTCTGATATGGATGAGATGCGATCGGCAGGCGAAACTGATGAGGCTGATGTGCTCTATCAGAGAGCGATGATCAAAGCTGGAGCTGGCAAGAAGGGCATACAAGGTCCTGCTGCTTTTGATGAAGGCAACCTTCTCGACGACGACTTCGCGGACGACAGTCAGCAGAGTGTCGCGGAGCAGATCGAGAGGGTAGAGGCTCTGATCAGCAAGCTTCAGCTCGTAAAGCGAGAACGAGCGCAAGTGCTGAAGGACTTGAAGGAGAAGGTGAGAATTCGCATGATGAGTTTGTGGGTACCATTCCGCTGACTGAAGGTGACAGATACATAACGACGACATCTCGAATGTTCTGATGCTCAACAAGAAGGCTATCACGAACCAGGAGAGTCAGCTCTTCAAGTCCGAGCTCGAGAAGTTTCGCCCTCACCAGAATCGCATCTTGCAAGCAGTGCACAAGCAGTCGTCTCTTATGAAGGAGCTCACTCGCACATATAGCGAACTGCTTCAAGACAAGCGAGTCAAAGGCGAACAAAACAAGTACGAAGCCTTTTCACGGCAACGGAACACGGTCTTGAGCAAATATCGGAAGGTCTTCCAAGCATATAAAGATCTCCAAGCAGGTCTGTCGCGAGCACAGCAATTCTACGACGAAATGAAGGAGACAGTGGACAGCCTGAAAAAGAACGTTGACTCCTTCGTCGAAAATCGTCGTTCTGAAGGTGGACAACTCCTCAGCGCAATCGAAGCTTCAAAAGGCAGCGGCGCAGATCGAGAACAAGCCCGTCTGAAAGAGCTCATGGAACGCATGAGCGTCAGTCCCAACAGCCAGCAATCTTCTGGCTCGCCCATGCCAGGCTTCAGCGGCGCTGGTCAGAGAGACTCATCACAACGTCCTCCTGCGCTCCAACCTCAGACTTCCTATGGTCATCAGCCTCAGCAACCCCTCTACAACCCAGCTGCCAGCCCGCCCATCACACCTCGCTACCAACCTCCGAATGGCAGCAACATGCAGTCTTCGGTCCCAGCTCCTTACCCATACCAACAAACAGCAAACTACAATCCTAACCAGTACGGCGCGCCTCCCATGCAATCACCCCCCGCTCATCAACAGTACTTCTCTCCCCCTCCGAATCACTACCAACAGCCACCGAGCACGACACAATATAGCCAACATCAGCAGTACTCCGGTAACGGTGTGCCGCAAGGCTGGCAACCTCCTCCACCTCCCCCTGGCCCGCCGCCAAGTAATCAGAATCAGTATGGTCAACATCAGCATCAGCAACAGAGTGGAGGAGATCCTTGGGCTGGACTCGCGGGGTGGAAGTAAAGCGTGTTTGAGCGTTCGGTTTGGGATGCATGCATGTGTTTGAGATGTGTTTTTTGGAGTGGAGCACTGTAGCATGATTGTACAGCGAGCATTTGACAGTGAGTGGCATTTTACTTACGTACCTTAGGAATGAGACAAAATAGCAGTCAGGTATCTTCATGTCACATCTTTTCTACGGTATGTGTCGGGCAAGGTCCTGTTCATGACGATCTACCTTACTCCTTGGTCTCAGAGCATGGTGTTGCGATTCGTGTTAACTAACGGAATTTGCCAAACTAAATGCATCGCGAAAGACCACGGGAGATTCTCCAGCTTGCAGGCTCACGAATGGTCAAAAATCTCTGCGACTGTACAGTATCTCAGTTTTGCGATTACGAGCACGAAAGAGGAAGACGGGGGGGGGGGGGGGGGTTCTTTAACTCCCAACCTTGATTTCTGGCAAAGGGAATTTTCCTTTTGGCGGTTCCGGCCAGGGCAAAAGGGAAAGGGAATGGAAATGGAAATGGAAAAAAAAATCTGATTCTGATTCTGATTCTGGGGTGAGTGGAGGAGGGAGCGTGTGTTCATGGAGTTTGCGATGAGAGATTTTTTTTGGGTTGGAGATATTGTTCTAGGGATGAAGATGAAGATGAAGATGTGTAATGAGGAGAAGACGAATGACGGGAGCGGGTGGGTTGGGTTGGACGACGTTCTGGTCGTGGGTTGGTCGAGCTTCATCTTGTTGCAATTGGTTGTACTGCTTCTGAACGGGCGTCGGTTATCAAGCCCCCCCCCCCCCCCAACAATAGCGACAAGGGACATCGATGACCTGAGGTTCTCAAAATTCTGCGTGGTGTATGTAGGTAGTATTTGGAGGTCAGAGAGGTAAGGCTGTGCCATGACTTACCGTGTTAGACGGAAGATGCGACAAGTAAGGAAATAAATACAGGCGTTTGAGTCGGTCAAGGATAGGTCGACAATCTACCCAACCCCAACAATCCACCTCAGCATTCTCACCGGAACAGCCAAGGGCCAAAAGACAACCTCGAGCAAATGTATGACCGCAGCACCCAACTGCCAAAGCATAGCCAGCATCGTACACACAGCCAGAGCATGCCCAGCCAAAGATAACACCGTCTTCAAAGCCTCAGCCTTCTCTCTCGTCGACACATCCGGATCCTTCAGCAGCTCCAAAGTATCTATCCTCGGAACCTGCAAAGAACCCAAGTACCTCAAAGCAGAAGTCACGTATTCCAATATCATCTCTGCAATGTCCTTATCACGATCTTTTGACGACGGGCCTGGCGTCGGTCCGTGGAAAAGCACTGAACTCTGCCTCACGACTGTGGCATCGGACACTTTTCTCCTCCTCGTCTCACCACATTCACCGCTATTGCCATCTCTTCGACAACCAAAGGAACACTGCCTGTCTCCAGAGCTCTTCCGTGACGATTTGGGGATAGCCGCATGTTCAGGCTTCACCAATCGTACTTTTGGCAACCTGGTCAGAAGAGAAGACTCAGGAGGCTGACGGCTGGGCAAAGCACAGTTCTTCTTATTATTATTATCATCATCAGAATAATATTGATCGCCGGGAAGAGAGCCGGTATGGAGATTGGCAACGGGGTTGCTTCTTGGCGCCGAGTCCATGGAAGACTTAAAGTTCTGCAAGGTCTCCCGGTTCTCAAACGTTGCCGAGTGCTTGGGAGGTGACGCTTCAACGCAGGTGGATGTTGACGCGTATTGATGATGACCCCGTCTATTATTGACAGGTGGTGTCTTGGGAATTCTCGGCGGTAGAAGGGGGCTCTTCTTGGAGTTATGATCGTGGTTATCAGAAACCCGAATAGCTTCATCTGCGTTGTGATGGGTCATCCTGGTCGTTCTTGGATTTGGTCTTTTGCGGACGACGAGTATTGGAGGTTCCACGTCCTCGTATGTTCGGTCTTGGTAGCAATCATCGCTATATGGAATGAATTGGCGGTCGGGCAGGGGCCTTGCATCTGTCACATGCTGGTCTTCGCACGTACACTCGTGGCAGTCGGTATAGACTTTGCACAAACTTTGTCCATGGAACAATCTCCGGTCGTAGCCATCACTGGAGACGCGTCTTGCTTTTCGCCGATAGTGTTCCAGTGCATCAATCTGCTCTGCGGTGTAACCAGGGTAGGAGAAGGGCTGTGGCTCACGCGCAGATGGCATGTTCACCACGAATTGATCATCCCGTAATTCTGAAGATGCGACTTCAGGCTGGCATTTTCCCACGAGGTGGCTCGATTGGTTGCCCGGAAATGCACCTGGCACATGGTCTTGCTGCGGTGTTGTTTCTCGGCCGCTGCGATTCCGCACACTCCCAGAACTGATCTTTCTGCCCTCATTTGCTCGGCAAAGTGATGGTCGCTCTGTTCGTGCTGGAGTTGGAGAGTGCTGTTCTACCGAATATCTCTTCAGAGCTTCCCCAGGTGAATCGGGGGTGTACGGTGTCCGGGTGCCCACGCTTGGAGATATGAGACCCGTTCTTGGATTCGCACCTCTGACAGTGATGTAGTCGTCGCTATCTTTCATTCGCTTCATGTGGGCTCGGCTGCAAACACTGTTGTGTGAAGATGCTTGTATTGTATGCCGAGCTGTCCGGTTGAGCGGATTTTTGGCTACAAGCGCCTTGAAACGAGCTCCTAGAGTGCGATGCTGTGCATGCGGGTGCGGATATGCTTGACAATGTTGAGGGTTGCTGCAATGTGTGGAAAGTGTCGTTCTGGGTTGTGTTGCCAGTGCTGGGCGGTGGAAGTGGCTCAGGCGAATTGGAATTATTGGAGTCCTGTTCTTGTGATTCGCCATTTGGCGCACAGAACATCGATGTTTGATGGTGGAATGCTGCTCACTGGCCAAGCAACCAGTATCGCGAAAGAATGAACAAGGCGAATCTCCACTTACCATTGCACCTACCTCATGACTTGACTTCTACTTTCCAAAATTCGAACGCTCTTTCCCCACCAGCTGGGTCTATGCATCACATCACTTTCGCGCGTGTGGCCGTGTTGCTGTCGGAGCGTGATGGCGACATTTGAGCGTTACAGCTCATCCACGTCCCCTTGCGAGTCTAGACATAAGCCGTTTGACGTTCGCACAGCGGAAATCGAATGCTTACTTCGGCAAGCTGTGAGGACGTGGGCAAAGTCCGATGGAGCCACTCGGTAGTTTTCGCATTTTCGTGTCGGGGACGAAAGCTTCGTCGTGATTCGCGAGCCGGCTTCTCCCGCCCAGGCACAACTTTTCCATCACCCATGACCCATGTCATGGTGACAGGTACGAGTGTTGGGCTGACCAAAGACGCTCATCATACAGAGGAGTCTTATCAGGCGACATTTCCCAAGACGCGTCCTGGAGGACAAGACTTCAGCTTCGACGCGCATCCTCCGGCATGGCTTGCGACTCCCAAAGTATCGTGCTTACAGATCTTCCGGCCCGCTGACACGTCCAAGACTCCAAGCCACAACTTCCCCCAGTCCTGAGATGATAAGCCTTTTTCCCTTCAAATTGAGATTCAGGTCCAGCGTTCGTCATATGCCAGTTGTGCAGATCATGCATTGTCTGCTTTTCGCATGCTGACGAGTGCAGCGAGGCGCGGCGAGGCCATTCCTAACCACTGATGCTCTGGCGCTTCAATCCCGCGCGCTCCCGCACCTGAAATTCACGACCCTTTGAAACGGTCAAGTGTCCTCAATCCGGTGAAAGATGCACAAGCTGGTCAATAATGTGTGACGCCGAGAGAATTGGGAGTTTCGCGTGATCGTCCAGTGCCAGAGTCCAAGGCTTGGGTGTAACAGAATTTCGATTAAGGTGTCGTTGGCAACTTTGACAAGAAAGGCCAAGTGTGCTGTGAAACGGAGCATTCGCGGCAGGCAGCGGGGAGACAGGTTTCTTTGATGATTCCATTCTGCGAGGGCTGTCTCAACGTCGGGGTCGGGATGTGGTGGTCGTGGGACCGGGTGCTTCGAGCTGCATGTGCTCAATGTCAAATGAGCATCGCTTCTCGTTCCAAGACGCTGCGAAAACTTCGCAACAGCCTCACCTTACGGCTGCGCGGCACGATAGAAATGTAGGAGAGCAAAATGCCTCACTCTATCGGCAGTTTCGGGTCTTGCTATTCTAGTCGCATGTGCGCTTTTTAAATCTCTGCAAGGGCTTCCACGAGTGTTGACACAGCGGGTACTGAAGGTCGGCGAGACGCGGACGACCTTCACACACTGGCACACCGAAAGTCGAGCCGTTCGCGCATGCGAGTAAGGCCCGCGGCGCATCTCTAAAGTCTAAAGGCTAAAGCTACTGTGTGGTGTGGCTTCTGCGGGATGCCACCCCAGCACAGAGCTTTCGGCCTCACGCAGGTTACAGCTACCACGATGGGAAGCGCTCAAGGCTCAACCGTCTCAACTACAGCAAGTTAGAGGCTGATTTTGGTTCTGGTCGGTCTATTACGCAAAGGCTTGGTTCACGATGGAGACAGCAATCAATGCAAAGGCGGGAAGCAGATGGCACAAGGCTACGGTACCTGTGAGATACCTGATCATGCTTCAGCGTTGGCCGGAGAGTCGGAGACCGTGGAAGTCCAACAGCGAAAGTAGTAGCGATGCGAGGGCAGCACCGAATTATTGTTTGTTTTGTTGATGCTCGATAAGGTGCCCTGCAGACGCCTGTGCAATTTGACCCATGCTCATTTCGGCTCTTGGCACGTGGGTCCACCAGCAAGATTGGCTTCCCGCGACAGGTGCTTTGGTGCGTAATGCTAGTAGCAACGGTTGCCGCGCGCACACTCACCCGTGCCCGTAATTGGGCCAAGTCTGCTGCTTAATTGATATCGACAGACCAGACGGGTCGGCCCTGATTGCTCGAATGGATGGCGATAGCATACGACAGCGCAGTCGGCGAGTGCGGTTGTCCCAATGTCTCCCCAATGCCTGCTGCAGCTACGTGCGACCTAGTAAGCACACGCTGGAGGAAGAAGCTCTATGCTGCGACAGGGCTGGAAGGGCGGTGGTGCAATGCATAATTGATGTCATGATGCGAGCTCGTGTACGGCCACTACGCTGTCGGGCAAGGTGCCACTCGGCTGTCAGCCTGAGAGCCACGTCGAGCTGTGAGCATGAGCTACAACAGCCAACAGCCAACAGCCAACAGCCAACAGGTATGTGATGACCGCACGCCTTCCACAGCAGAACAATCACCTTTCCACCGTGCCCTCGATCAGTGGTCGGGTGAGCCGATTGCGCATGTCATTTGCGGACAGCGGGCCCAGCGGCACCAGTCGCACCCCGCGCAAAGTGATTATTGGGTTGAGCAGTGAGCTGCGAGGGCGCGGCGGGACTACTAACGTTAGCACAGTAGTAGTGTGTGACGTCTGGATCGGTGGACGATTCTCGGGGCTTTGGCGAGCGCGCAGTGGCGCAGAGCTAGGGTAGGTAGGTTCGCGCAAGCTAGGGTGGAGCAAAATGCCTCACACGCGACTGGGCTGGCAAAGGCCGCAGAGCTAGTCACCGCAGAGCTAGTCACCGCAGATGCACGCTCGTCGGTATTGTCTGCGGCGTGGCTCACTTTACGTTATTGGCATAATCTTCGACCGGTCCGACCAGACTTGCCAGTTGCAGCGGCCAGCTTGCACGTTGCAGCGAGCAGGGTCAGCCTTCGAGCGAAAGCTCGGCATCGCGGCAACGACCGGGGCCTCTGCCGTGTCCTCAGTCGCTCGCTTGCCTTTTTATCTCCCCAGCGTGTCCGCATCGGCCAATCTTCCTTTTCTTCTACAGCTTCGCCGCCTCATCGTCCATTGATCAACAACCCAGCGACGGCCATTGACTTGGTGATCGCTACGACAAGATGGCGAGCCAAGAACCTGGTGCTCCTCGTGTGAGCTTCTCCGACAAGGACCTGGAGAACGGTGGTCAAGGTGGTCCGGATCGGTATGTTGTCGTCCATCGCGCTCGTCGTCGAATTTCTTTCTGCTGCGCGCAACGGCAGCTGCACCACTCGCGCCTGCGCCCGCATCGCGCCCGCCCTGTCTTGAGTCCGTCATGTCGCTGACTGCAGCAATAGCTCGCGCAAGTGGTCCCAGGCGCCTGGCAACATTGAGGATCTCGGTAAGCTCGACCATGTGGGCATTTTGGGACGCGTCTAACATGGATTTCTACCCTCTAGACGAGTACACCGCGCTTCAGAAGTACATTTCCACTTACAGAGATCCCAAGCTCGCTCAGGAAGATGGCGGTGCTGAGAAGGAGGAGAAGCCCAAGAAGGCCTGGCAGGTTCGTTGTCGCTGTCGCCCGCATACATCTATCTCTAATCCGACACTGACTCGTGACGCCAGTTCTGGAAGTCCGGCAAGAAGGAGGCCGCTGGCACCTCCGACGATGGCCACGTCCCCGACGAGTGGTTAGACGTCGACATCAAGCAGGGTATCAGCAACAGCGACGTCGAGGCTCGACGAAAGCGCTTCGGCTGGAACGAGCTCACCTCCGAGAAGGAGAACATGTTGCTCAAGTTCCTCGGTTTCTTCAAGGGTCCCATTCTCTATGGTATGTCTTCCTACAGCTTCCTACCTATTTTCGCATGGTGCGAAGCAAGATTGCCCCCGCAATGCATTGCGCATTCTGTTGGCTACTTTGTTTTGCTTTCCTCGAGCTTCACCCTCCGCACTGAAGCTTCCGAGGCAAATCTCTTGGCACACAGCTGCCGCTGCACGGCTATGCACGACATCAATGCCGCAGTAAGCAATGGCTAATTCTTGGCAGTCATGGAACTCGCTGTCCTCCTCGCTGCCGGTCTTCGTGACTGGATCGATCTCGGTGTCATTATCGCTATTCTGATGCTGAACGCCATCGTCGGTTGGTACCAGGAAAAGCAGGCCGCGGACATTGTGTCAAAACTCAAGGGTGACATTGCCATGAAGGCGACTGTCATTCGTAACGGACAAGAACAAGATATCAAGGCTCGCGAAATCGTCCCAGGTGATATTATCATCATTGAGGAAGGTCAAACCGTCCCAGCCGATGCCCGTCTCATCTGCGACTACGACCACCCAGAGGACTTCGAGAAGTATAAGGAACTCCGCGAACAACACGCACTCGACCCAGAGGAGGACCCAGCTGGTTCCGAAGATGCTGAGGGTGACGAGGGTGAGGGTATCCAGCACCAAGGCCACTCCATTGTCGCTACCGATCAGTCCGCCATCACTGGTGAATCTCTCGCTGTTGACAAGTTCATGGGCGACGTCGTCTACTACACCACTGGTTGCAAGCGCGGAAAGGCTTACGCCGTTGCTACTGCTTCTGCCCGCTTCTCTTTCGTCGGACGCACTGCCTCGCTGGTGCAGGGTGCTAAGGACCAGGGTCACTTCAAGGCCATCATGAACTCCATCGGTACGGCTCTGCTTGTCCTGGTCATGTTCTGGATTCTCGCTGCCTGGATTGGTGGTTTCTTCCGCCACATCAAGCTCGCTACCCCAGAGGACTCTGACAACACCCTCCTCAAGTACGTCCTGATCTTGTTCATTATTGGTGTGCCGGTCGGTCTGCCTGTCGTCACCACTACTACTCTGGCTGTCGGTGCCGCCTACCTCGCCAAGCAACAGGCCATTGTCCAGAAGCTCACTGCCATCGAGTCGCTTGCCGGTGTTGATGTTCTCTGCTCTGACAAGACCGGTACCCTCACTGCCAACCAGCTCTCCATTCGCGAGCCATACGTCGCTGAGGGCGAGGATGTCAACTGGATGATGGCTTGCGCTGCTCTTGCCTCGTCGCACAACATCAAGTCTCTTGACCCCATCGACAAGGTCACTATCCTCACCCTCAAGCGCTATCCCAAGGCCCGTGATATCCTCAAGGACGACTGGAAGACCGAGAAATTCATTCCATTCGACCCTGTCTCCAAGCGCATCACTACCGTCTGCACGCTCCGCGGCGACCGCTTCACCTGCGCCAAGGGTGCACCAAAGGCTATCCTCAATCTGACTGATTGCACCAAGGAAACAGCTGATCTCTTCAAGGAGAAGGCAGCTGAGTTCGCCCGCCGTGGTTTCCGATCCCTCGGTGTTGCCTATCAGAAGAACAACGAGCCATGGGTCCTCCTCGGTATGCTTTCTATGTTCGACCCGCCACGTGAGGATACCGCTCAGACCATCGTTGAGGCCCAGCAGCTCGGCGTTCCGGTTAAGATGCTTACGGGTGATGCTATTGCCATTGCCAAGGAGACTTGCAAGATGCTTGCCCTTGGTACTAAGGTCTATAACTCCCAGAAGCTCATCCACGGTGGTCTGTCCGGCACTACCCAGCACGATCTCGTTGAGCGTGCCGATGGTTTCGCCGAGGTCTTCCCAGAACACAAGTACCAGGTCGTCGAGATGCTGCAACAGCGCGGTCACTTGACTGCCATGACTGGTGACGGTGTCAACGATGCTCCATCGCTCAAGAAGTCTGACTGTGGTATCGCTGTCGAGGGCGCCACCGAAGCCGCCCAAGCCGCTGCTGATATCGTCTTCCTGGCCCCCGGTCTCTCCACCATTGTTTTCGCCATCAAGACCGCACGACAGATTTTCCAGCGTATGAAGGCATACATTCAGTACCGTATCGCCCTCTGCTTGCATCTGGAGATCTACTTGGTCACTTCCATGATCATCATCAACGAGACCATCTCCTCCGAGCTCATCGTCTTCATCGCCCTTTTCGCAGATCTGGCCACTGTCGCCGTCGCCTACGACAACGCTCACTCCGAGCAGCGCCCCGTCGAATGGCAACTCCCAAAGATCTGGATCATCTCCGTCATCCTCGGTATCGAGCTTGCCATTGGCACCTGGATCATTCGTGGTGCCCTCTACCTGCCATCCGGCGGTATTGTGCAGAACTGGGGTAACATTCAGGAAATCCTTTTCCTCGAAGTTGCACTCACTGAGAACTGGCTGATCTTTGTCACTCGTGGTGCCAGCACTCTTCCATCGTGGCAGTTGGTTGGCGCCATCCTCGGTGTCGATGTCGTGGCCACTCTCTTCTGTATCTTCGGATGGTTGAACCCCAACATCTACCAGGAGCCTCTCCCAAGCCCAATGTCTTCCTTCCAGGAGACCAGAAATGGCCATACCGATGTCGTCACCGTCGTCGTCATCTGGATGTACTCGATTGGCGTACTCATCTTCATCGCCATCACATATTACCTGCTTAACAAGATCCCATCCCTTGCCGATCTCGGTCGTAAGAACCGCAGCCTCCACGACACCCAGATGGAGAACATCATCGGTCACCTTAGCAAGCTCGCCCTCAAGCACGAGCGGGATGAGGCCGGTGATGGCAAGTGGACCCTGGTTGGCAAGTCTACAGAGGAGGAGGATGAAGATTAGAGTCCGTCATGATACCACAGTGTTTTTGCGATGATTCATACTAGGTATTGGGAAACAGATGAGTGTGTTACTACCGACAGACGTCTCTTAACGTGCTTCTCTTTGCCATCTATTGGAGAGCGCACTGTACATACCTAATCTATGGTAGAGTATAACGAGCAGTGTGCCCATACGATTTTTGTAATTAGCTGTCGCCTTTTTCCTGCTCGTCGAGAGTACCTCACGACCAGTATACACGGCCGAATTGATGTACAACGTCTCCAGTCCTCATCTCCAAGTGAGTGTTCACCGTTCACCCAGAATTTCAGCAGCAGGGACTCCAAATGACGCTCCGCTCGATCAACACCGCCTAACAAGCATTACTGGCGCCATCACCAAGCCCTTCCGTCATGATCAATGCCACCGATGGCTTATACCTTGTCGCAAATCACATCACGCCCCACTTGGGCCACTTCTTGCTTCCACTTTCCCAGGATTAATTATCCCTCCACCTCCCGGGCTCACGCACGCCCGGAGTATCCCGACATTGTTAAGATCTTACAAAATTTTTTTTTGCTCGGCTGAATAGATCAAAAATTCCACTTTTTGTAAAATATGTATGTGGTCACTCACGAGACGAGACGAGTGATGAAAATAATATTCGCAATCGCAACAAAGATTTCTCCCTCTCTCTCTCTCTCTTTCCCCAATACATTCACTATTCTAATTAATTAATCGTATACCCCCCATCGACAACCATAGCACTCCCTTGCACAAACGTGGCTTTCGAACTACACAAGAACAAAACCGCGTCTGAGATTTCTTGTGCTGTGCCTGCACGGTTCATGGGTGCGATGCTGATTGCTGGGCCGAGAACGTCCATTTGTGGTCGTGTCATGGGGGTGTCGATTACGCCTGGACAGACACTATAGGAGAAAGATTAGGCTGAGATGAGGGTGGGTGTGGTTGTGAGGGTGGGACTTACCAGTTGATTCGGATGTTGTCTTTGGAGTACTAGGCATGGAGTTGTTAGTGGTGGGAAGAAGTGGGTGGGTAGGGATTAGGGAGGCTTACGTCAATTGCGTCGCATTGGGTCATGGAGATTACGGCTGCTTTGCTGGCGCAGTAGGCGGCTGGGTTGGGTTTTGGGTCAGTAGCGGGATCAAAGAAGGATTATGAGCTTGGTTTAATTCTTACGAGCTGCTGGTCTTCCGACAATTCCAAGTTGACTTGCGATGTTTACGATACTTCCTCGATTCCCACGCCGTCCGTCATGAGATGGAAGTGGCTCCTGTCCCAGCATTTGCTTGATTTCTGCTCGCGACGAGAGCCAGCAGCCGCGATAATTGACGCTGTTGATTTTATCGAAATCTGCGGCTGAGGTTCCTGTGGAGGGTTGATTGTTGCTTAAGATGCCTTTTTGCTGGAATCAGCATGTTGAAGTCACTTCCCATGGGTATGAATGCATGCTTACCGGCACAGTTAGCAGCATAGTCGATTCTTCCTAGATCCCGTACAACTCTGTGGATGAAGTCTTCGACCTGGGCTTCTTGTGAAATGTCCACGGTCTGGCTGACGATGTGCACGATCTCGCCAGATCCGGCTTCTTCGATCAATTTGGAGGTCTCAGCCAGACCTGCAGCATTGCGATCGGCAATGGCGATTTTCCGACATCCTTCTCGAGCAAAAGATATAGCAGTGGCTTGGCCGATTCCTGGAGAATGTCAGCCGGTTTTGGAAAGATTGATGGAGGTCGAAGTCCTACCGGATGCGGCGCCAGTGACCAATGCTACACCTGGAAATAAAGTCATCTTGTATTCTGGTGGTGTACTGTCCGAGGATGTTTACAGCTGTATGGAATGATTGACTGAAGTGGAGTAAGAGCGGAGAGGTCGTTAGATAGGCCTGCGAAGTTTAAAGTTGTAGTTGGCCGGCGGGCAACTGGATAAAATGGACTGGCGGTTGCTTGGACAATGTGGCATTTTGTTGATCTAGAGGCATTGCCGCAACTTCTGTATGTCTCCGAGGATACTGGCGAGAGTGGATTACTTGACTAATGAGCCATCGACAGGTCATGTCATGCCAAGAGGCTTTTCAGCAGATGCGGGATCATTTCTTTGAAATCTCAAAGAAGCTGGATGTCTATCTTCAAGATGGCGGCCTTATGGTTCTTGAAAGCGAGAAGCCATTGCGTGCTCCATAGGCTATAGATTGGTGCGTGCGAGGCTAGAAGACCATCCGTGGAAGCTCAGACCGCATACGGAGTTGATGCTGCAACTGTGAAGACGGACCGAAAAGTCACATTGATGCATGCGCAGCCATATTGCTGACCTTGGAGCGACTGGAAGGCTTCCTCGTATGGTTATCGACTTATGAGGATGCGTTGAGAGCAGCACGTGGTGTTGCCACTGACTTGCAGCCAGGCCTGAGCGATCGACGAAGCTTGAAGAGGTGTGGACCATCCTGGTACTCGTACACACTCTAACAGATCTCGCAGGATATTTAGGCGCGGTAGGCTTGGCCATCTGACTAGATCTCGTGCCTCAAAATCCGGTTTGCTCCCATCAAATCCTAAGCTCACCATATTGGAAACGGGCTAGGTTCGACCAAGCAATGATCGATCTGGCAATATGTGGTGGTGAAACTCTGCCGTCCATAGACGAGGCTGACAATGCGCCATCTCCGCTCGCATCTTTCTCAATTTGCAGTATCCAAGCTTGAACTATGTTCTTGTTCGCATCAGATTCAGCTGCTGCTGCGTCTGGAGAGGGACAGGGAAAAGATCGCCTTCCGTCGAAGAGTGATGCGTGGGTTCTGCCGGCTGTGCTCGTTACACAATCACAAAGAATGCCATCTCTTGAATGTCATCGTACGTCCGACCGTAACGAAATTGCAGCTCACACTCCCAATCGCGCCTGAGGCTCTTGTTATGCCAGGGCGGGATCCGACTGACTTTTGTTGTTGCATTCGCGAGCCTGACCAACTGTTTCAGAGCCAATTCTTCTCAAGCACCAATGCAAGCTTTGCAGTCTTTCGTGGCGTCACATGCGTCGCAAGAGGTGGACACACCTCACGGCCCGGCAGGGTGGGTGAGGCATAAGGTTCTGCTTCGGCCTCCGGGGCATGCAAGTTGTGTGTATCCTCATGATACTATGATAGCCTGTCCAAGCCCGAAAATTACGGGATCTTTCGCTGATATACCAACTGAGGTTAAGGTGGTATGCAGGGACTAGCATAAAAGCAGAAGTTCATATTGTCAACACCTGTGAAGTAGTGAGGTTCTGGCTGATTGGCTGTGGATCTTGGATTGAACTTCTCTGCTTCAGGCCATCCTGGTGTTCTCGTGATGTCTCTCACCTGTCTCACATGATCGTCTGTGATGCTTGCCGGCCAGAGGGCGTCTTCGGTCTGCGGACATACGATAGTCAGGATTTCGTTTCTTAGCCAGAACGTGGAGCAAACGATCAGCAGGTGTCTTGCATCGCTTGGAGCTCAAGTTGAACGTTGGGACGGCGCCGCTGCAGGTTCAAGTCGTGGTTGGAATGCCTTGGAAGAGACAGCCCGTCCTAATAATGATAGGAATCGTTCTCCTCGAAGGTTCTGTGGCGCTCATTGCCCAAATGTAAGCCTTCGACTGTGTCTACCATGACGCGTCTTGCGGCTTGCTGGCTCTCGTGAAGGGCCAGAGTTGGCGCGTAGTCTGCGACCGTTGACAAGGACGTGGGCAGTAAAGCCGCTAGAGATGTTACATTTCAAGTCCACATGTCATATGATATTCGAGACTTGCAAGGCCATCAGAAGGAAGTCGTCACCGCAGCTAAGGGAGGCACATCAAAGTCTATTTTTACTTAGTCATCAGGAGGCTGAGGCCGGAAACGCAGACCTCACTTCGAGATTCACGCTGCTCCTCTGCTCAAACATTGTCTCTTCCCATTTCTGGACCTCGTCCCGTGTGTAAGTTGTTGAGTTAATTTGTCTGTTGAGAGCTGGAATCGCTGCTGATGGAGAGTCGTAGATTTATTCTCTTCCAGCGCGACGTCGGTCGCTCGTGGCTACTGAGAGGCTGTTTACCGCGAGGTTCCAGCATCGATTTGGCCAGTAAAGAGATGTTACGATGCCTTCGAAAGCTTCCTCTGCCATCCGTGCGGTCCAGATGGAGACATGTGTGACCTCATGTGTCACCAAGCACTCAGCACTTGAGATGAGACTCTACTTTGATGCTTGCTACTGCCCTGGGCCTTCAGGATTTTCGCCTCCTAGAATAATGCCTCGGTGGCTCTAGAAGCGGTGTCGATGGAAGTTCTGCACATGCGGGAACTTGCATCCAGAATGTAGCACCTAGACATTAGCCACATGCAGCCAGCCGGGACACCTAGATCGTACACACGAGCAATAGCTTCTCTTCAGGGTCCTTCCACCACCGAGCGCATGTGAGAACGGCGGCAGGGCTTGAAAAATGTCACTAATCCTGCTTAAGAGCCCCTAGATCTTGATGTGTTTCGGCAATGATGCGCTGTGTAACGTGGAAATTTGAGAATAAGTAGGTGCCAAGAAACGTTCTGTCAACTGTTTTACTCGACTGCACTTGTCCACTTTGCCTAGAGCGTGCTTGTTTGAGCCGACTAGCAAACAACATGCTTTCAAGCTTCGCCACACACTCACTTCTTAGAGTCATCACATCACGACAGTCCATCACCTCATCAGACCACCGACCTGCCATGCTCATCCAAGAAGAACAATGATGAATACAATCCGAGCCGCGGCGGGCATCTTGCTAGGGCTTCAATTCATCCTCGAGCCGACTCTAGCTCAGAATTGCTACTATCCGAACGGCGACGTCTCAACCACCGACGCAGCATGCTCTTCAGGTGACAGCGCATGCTGTCCAAATAACTGGGAGTGCTTAAGCAACGGACTGTGTTACGATCCGACCAACAAGTATTTCAACAGAAATACATGCACAGATCAGACTTGGGAGAGCAGCGATTGCCCGCAGTATTGTACTGCTAGTGAGTGCGACCATTTCTGTACACCATCATCTACTGACAAGAGACAGATAACACAGCCGCCGGAAATGAGGCGCTCAAGCGATGCGACGATGGTAGCTGGTGCTGCAATGGTGATAGGGTACATATGGATTGTTGCACTATGGATGATTTGGAAGTGATCGATGTACCGGGTTGGACAACTCTCACCAAGATTACCAGCATACCATCCCCAACTTCGGTCGCGTCGAAGACCTTAAGCACCTCGTCAACTTCTTCGTCCTCCAGTGCAACAGCTACAACAACCAGCGATAGCAGCAGCACCGACTCAAGCTCCACCACAACTGAACCAACCACCTCCGAGTCCACTGACGCACTCCTTCCTATATCAGCCTCCGCAACCACCACTCCCTCCTCAACAGACTCCCCAGCGCCCTCAAACAACAGCTCCAAAAACCTCGCTATAGGTCTCGGAGTCGGCATCCCCCTCCTCGCCCTAGCAGCAGCTCTAGGCTTCCTCCTCCTCTGGCAACATAAACGCAAATCCTCTCAAGACCCCCCAACCTCAGACCGCCTCAAACCCGACATAGTCGACATGTACTCACACGGAAAAGACGCACAGGAAGCCGACGGCACACCAGTAGCCGTAAGCAGCGCGCACGACTCCAAACGTCCCCCCAGCGAACTCATCGGCAATAACCACTTCCTCCCAACCCAACAACCTTCCCCAACCGTAAGCCACATATCAAGTATGTCCCGCTTCTCCAACCGCTCGAGTCTCCCGCCACAATACAGTCCCAATCCCGGCGAAGGCGCGCCTCGCGGAGGTGGTGGTCTTTTTGTCGTGAACCCTGGCACTTTGTCTGATGTCGATGAGACGCCTGAACCTCAGGAACTTCCTCCGGAGGGAAATCCTCCGCGCGATTCTAGCAGATATAGTGGGCCGGCTCCTAGTGTGAGGACGAGTGCGTATGAGGCTTATGGGAGGGCTTATGGACCTGTGGCTACGACTTATGTGCCTTCTCCTAGTCCGGAGGGGGAGATGGATGATGGGGTTGGGAATGAGGAGCAGAAGCCTTTAGGACCTCGTCCGCAGCAGAAGAGGAATGATGAGCTGATGCTGGACTGAGAGCGGGTACTTGTGATGATGGGTATATCTTCGAAGCATTGGCGATATCATCGCGACGCAATTACGGCACAGCTGAGGCTTCTACGATTGCATGGAAAGGATGGAGAACGAGCGTTTCGAGCGGAGCACGATACATACTGATGGTCTTGTATTATAAGAACTGGAAAGCAACCGGCTGGACGTTTTCAAAAATTCCCTCATCTCAAGTCCACGAAGCATTTGCTGCTCACGAAGAGATATCATGATGACGGAAAAGATCCAAGAATATGGAGAAAATCATGATGAGACGTTCTGCGCTTACCGTTGCATGTTCGCCATACCGAGTTACACTTTCGAAGTCAGGATAGAGCGCTGGCCGGTATCAGCTCGCGCAAACCAAGTTTTTCATGTTCCGCAGTGCTTCATTCCAACGAAACTCAAAGCTTTATTCATTTTGCTTCCTGGCGTCAGCGGCTCAGTATCTGTGGCCGAATGTATTGTCTGAATTCACGGCTGCGCACATCGAAGCGCTGGAAGGACTTGGCGCACGGCGGGAGTTGTGCTGGATGAAATTGGTGCTGGTAGAGATGTTAACCGCAAAGCCGGAGCGATGACCTGGTTCGATTTGGAGCGGAGAGCATGGCGAGCGTGATAAGCATGACGGTGTTTCTGGCTGAGTCTGATATGGCTTTGCGACAAGCTCCAGCCGTGCGTACAGAGGGTGAGGGTGAGGGTGAGGGTGAGGGTGATGGTGGACGGAAGGCGGTAAGGTGTGTTTTGGCGCAGTTCAAGCATGCATGTCTGAGCGGAGCTACTGCACGGTGCTCACAGCTTCCTACTTGGATGTGATGTCAGTGTTGGTGCCAGATGGGCGGACTACATTGCGGCGGAATATAAATGCACGCGCGTGCATAGGGTAGAAGGGAGGCTGCTTGCTCTTGTTGTGCACAGGGCATTCGGGGCACGTTGCCAGAGTTGGTGGTGTGAGTGTGTGGTGATGGGAGGGAAGATGGGAAGAACAGGATCCCCAGCAGCTTTTGACCGTGCTCGACTGGCTCGGATGCTGATTCGACGACACGGCATGCAACAGCGTGAACCTTGATCCCGACAGCTGCTGCAGCTAGGCCGAGTCTCGAGCGATGTGTGGCTGCAGCAGCGAGGAGGATTTGGGGCTAGCGCATTTGGGGCCAAGCGTGGAAGCGACTTCCCACCGGCAGTGCGGGCGCCGTGCGCCTTCCTTTGTGCCCAGGCCGATGCGATCGTCGCTTTTCGTCGCTGCTATGATAGCCTATCGCAGTGCAGAGGAGCAGTTGCGCGCTGAGGCAGAGACAGCTGCAGACGGCGACATGCCTCATGCCTCCCATTCCCACCCTTCCAGCGTCTGTGCAACGCCGCGTCGCAGCGCAGTGCATTATTCGACCGTGTTGCATCGGGCCATGCAACTCCCACGGCGGCGGCATGGGCCATCGAGCATGCGCACGGCGACGCCCTGGCCTGGCCTGGCCTGCACAGTACTCCGTAGGCTGTAGCTGATGAACTCCAACTCGCTGTGGCTGCGCGAGAAGGCCAAGGCCAAGGCGAAGCGCTTCCGCCTGCAGTGCCAGTGCTCAATCAAAGCACCAAAGCAAAACTTGAACAGCCCGCTGATTGGGCGCTGGGCCCGCCGCTTTGGCCGGCCATTGCCTCTGCCTCTACTTTCGCTCTCTGCACGCTTCAGCACCTCGTTCGCGATCACTCTTCTGCTGCACACCACCACCACACCACCGCTCTCTCAGTACTAACCCACAGTGCATTGCATTCTCCCCGCCGCCCTCTCTCGTCCGACACCCATTTCTTGCGACCCCGACACCGCAACACACGCCACCCTCAGCGCAGCCCGCTTGGACGCCTGTCGCTCTGCATTGCGAAAACTCACCACTCCCTCTCATGAACGCCCGCCACGTTTTACCACACACCCCGGAGGCATATCGAAGTCGACAGGCCTGGAAACTCGGCCGATAGCGCGTCGTCGCCGTCGCCTTCTCCTCCTGACCCCTCTTGAGCTCGCATTCTTTGTCGCCTGCACAGCGACCGAGACCGCGCACGACAGCCTTCAGACGCGGCGCAGAAAGTCTCTGCTCGTGTTCAGGCGTCGTAGACGCTGATATCGTGGCTCTACAGTCATGCGCCGCCATTTCAGAGCACCACTTGTCCCATAACCTCCAAGCACTCCTCTCCAGACAGCATAGCATGACAGACGCCTCCTTACCTGTCAAGGCTATCAACGCTCACGACCTCTCTCACCACGCTTCCCTGTCGGCCTTACACGCCGTGCCGAATCACCACCAGCGTTTCGCTGCACCCTCGCACGACAATGACCTCCCGGACGACGATGGCCAGATCGACTGCATTTGTGGCTTTGCCGACGACGATGGCTGGACGGTCGCATGTGATATATGCAACCGATGGCAGCATCAGTCGTGCTATTACCCAGAATATGACGAGATCTCTCTGCCGTCCAATGTCGAGCACTACTGCGTCAAGTGCAAGCCCCGATCTATCGACTTGCACCGGGCGCATTCACGACAACTCGAAAAGCGTGACCAGACAGAACCTCTCCAGAACGGTGTCAAGCGTGCGCCGCCGAAGAGTCACAAAAAGAAGGTTAAAGAGAATGGCGTCGCCCACACGAATGGCTGGCCTGTTGACAAGCTGAGACACGACCGAAACAGCGCCAGTCCTCGAGATCAACCTCCACCTGCGAAAAGACCAAAGACAAGTCATCGCAATTCCGATTCTACCACCACTACCACCACCACTAAAACCCACAGCCGGAAACGCAATGCTTCTACCGCCCACCGCAGGAGTATATCACTGTCACCCGACTTTCCCATTGAGCAATATTCGGAAAGCTTCTTGCAATGCTATCAAGAGGATAATTGGGAAGTCACAGATACCAACTTACATAGTTCCATCAGCGTGACGAACGCCTTGTCGGACTGGCTCAACTCGTCGGACGAAGAGTTCCGATCACGACACGGTCAGCCCAAGGGAGAATTACTCATGCGTTGGGATGGCCATCTGGATGAAATTCCGGGCAAAGCTCAGATTGACATTCAAGACCAGCATGATGCTGATGTCGCGTATGACGGTCGACATCCTTCCTGGAGAGTGGTGACCGTACAAGAACCAGTTGCCAATGGTGCATACATCGGCGAGCTCAAAGGTCATGTTGGCTTCAAGGCAGACTACCAACAAGAAGAAGGCAATAGGTGGCGACAACTGCGACATCCAGAACCCTTTGTGTTCTTCCATCCGAAATTGCCCATTGTCATCGATGCGCGCCACGAGGGCACAGAGCTGCGGTATGTGAGACGCAGCTGCCAGCCCAATGCACGCCTCCAGATTCTGGTCACTGATGGCGTGGATTGTCATTTCTGCTTCATGGCCACGGAACAGATTGAGCCCGGTGATGAGATCGCTGTCGGGTGGGACACTAGCAGTGGCCTACCGGAAATGGTAAACCAGGGCAAGATCTCTGAGGAGGACATGGACCATCTCTCTAGCTGGGTGTCCACCGCACTCGCTAACTGCGGGCCGTGTGCATGCGCCTTGCCAAAGGGTGATTGTATGATGTCGCGCTTCGACAAGAGGACTCACGGAGCCGCCGAAGCAGTAAAAGCACCAAAGCCGAAGAAGCGGAAAACTGGGCAGCATATATCGCCAATCAACACAAACACTGTGAACAGCCGATCGGGGAGTGAAGCACGTAGGGTTGACCATGATGATGAGACGGACTCCCCTTCGGCTTCTGGCTCTGCGGGCAGAGGTTCTGCGAGTCGAGACATGACGCCAAATACTCACTATTCCACCAACGGAACTTCCACCTTGCCTGAGCTGTCCGAACGAGAAAAGAAGAAGCTGGCGAAAGAAGAGGAAATGTTCCGACGTCAAGAGGAAGAGCGTGCTGGCAAGCAAGCAAAGAAGAAACGCAGCAGCGCAGGCTCAAACCTCAACACGCCGAGCGCCACGTCATCGAAGCAGCTGGGCTTCCCTGATAAATCAAGCACAAAGTCTGCTGATGCAGGTTCGTCACGGCAGCACGCAGCATCGAACGCGAAGGCACCTGTTGGCCGGAAGCCGAAGTCCTCCAAACTGCATGCGAAGCCAGCAGCGAAAGCGACCAAGCGCCCAAAGCCCGACTACCGTGAGGCTTCTACGCAGTGTGATTTGGACCAGGAAGAAGCTGCACAACGCGCTCCCACACCATCTTCTCGAAGACCTTTCAAGTCGCACCGGAAGCGGTTGCTCGAGCGTTGCGCACGTAATAACAGCATCCTGCTGGCATCTGTGCCTCCCAGTCCGGCTTTTGAGCCCAAAGCTGCCCTACTTGATAAGATGGACGTAGATCAATCGGAGCTGCAGCGCGCGAAACAAAGCACACCAGATCCAACAGCAGCTTCCGTGAAGTCTCCGTTATCCAAAGCAACGGACGCCTCGACAGCTTCGAATGCAGACCACGATGCTGAGATGGCCGATGCTCCCAGCGACGTCAAGGTGGAATCTCCCGTGGCAGGACACTCCACAGCAGGCGATTCACCCGGCTCAACTCGAGACTCACATCCTGACAAGCCCAGTCCTGCACCACCTTGGGATTCCAAGCCATCGACTGCGGACACTGCCATCAACGGGTTGACGCAAAAGCCCATGGGTATGCGCCTACAGATGCCACCACCACCGACCAATCCTTTCGCCCTCCCACCAATGCCGGGATCTGCTGGCTCACCAAACACGGCATCCATCTCGCAATCGCCTGCTGGCGTGGGTCCTGGACAGTTGTTCTCGCCATCGGTCACTGCAGCCGTGACACCAAGTCCAGCGCGGAAAAAGATGAGCTTGAGTGACTACACTCGTCGAAAGAAGAAGGATGATGGACCAAAAGTCGAGCGCGATAGTAGCCCTGCTTCGACCGCGTCGGGCCCAATCGTGGCCCCACTCCAACCGTCATCTTCCAGTGAGGTGCGCGCTGCCGAAGGCAATGCTGTCGAGGAAGACGTCAAGATGGAAGAAGCACCGCAGGTCGAGAACGTGCCACCATCCACTGCAGCTTGATCCCCACTTCTTTGAGTGTTCAATGTTGGTTCACAACACGTTCTAGCGCGGCGCAGGGTGTTCTACACTTTTTACGGCTCCAACCAGAAAGTTATTTGATGACTGCCGCCAGGGAGACGCGGCTTGGGAAGGCAGGGGAACCCTTTTTCCACTCCTCTTTATGATGGACCTGATCATGATGATCACGACCTCGGGCTCGCCGTACATTAGATCAGGCGAGCCGTAAACCTGTACTGTTATCAGAAGACGACTAGCAAGCATGACTTTTCTTGAGTAGCATAGTCAAGCGCGAATGAAAAATGAAGCAAAATCGCGAAAGCCGATCCCTTTTCGCAAATCCGTTGAAGTTGCTCTGGATCTCAGTATCTTCGGATGAAAAGTCTTGGTACGTCCGCCTCAGCAAACTGACGAGAACGCCGCATTTACTGACAAGATCAATCGTTGTTGCGCTGAGGATGCCGTGGAACTCGGACGTTTCAAAATTGCGTCTCAGTGCTCATCAGTGCTGCGGAAAGGCTTGGCGTGTGTGGTTGCTAGGCTGACGCCGCTCGTTGCTATGTCGCTGTTTGGCGTCATCTCCGACATGGTTATTTCGAACGCCGACGCTTTCATCATGCTCGACATCTGCACCTCGCATACATTATTTCTGACATTGCAAGACCCTGTCGATATTTGTTCGCGGGAACAATGATTGCTTAGAACGACAGAAACACGACGCACATAACGACGCATTCCTCGAGCTTGCATTCCGATCGCTGCGACAGCGACATGGCTGCTCCGAACGGCTATGGACCGCCTCCAGGCTATGACGATGATACGCCAAACTCCACTCCAAATCATGCTGCCACCATGCGACTCTTAACTAATACAGATGACAACAACCCATACCGAGCGTCAGTATCACCGTCTGCGAGACCACCACCCGAGCCCAAACGATCTCCCCATGAGCTTTTCCTGCGCGCACAAGAGAGATTGAACAGACAGCACCAGCCCGGTCATCCCAATGTTCCACCAGCACCACCCTCATACCCTCCTCCGTCACCTTTTGCGAGCCAGGCTCAAGAACCCGACTCAGAAGAGCTCAATTCCCTGCTGCGCGACGTTCAAAGCGACTTGTCCCAGTCAAGCGCTCCCCGTCCCACCGCTCCCCGCTACAAACTGAACAAAGTGCGATTCAAGAGTCGAAACGATGCTGCACAACAGGAGTCTCTGCCTGAGGAAGAAGACCTTGGCTCATACAATCCTTACCACAGGCCGGCGAGTCCTTCGCAGCGATCATACCACCCGCATTTACATTCTCCCACTCGGCCTCTTTCAAGAGAGGCATCTGTTCTGGACAATGTCCCAGGCATGCCACCGCCACCCTCTGACTTCGATCCGTATCGACCGGTATCAAGACAGTCTGGAAGCCCATCTAAGACTTTCACGCCAAGAGGCAGCAGAGATTACGCACGTCCACCAGCCACGAACATCCCGTACGAGCCAGCCGACATCAATGGCATACCGAGACCCGGTACGCCTTCCTCACAGTATGGAGGCTCGCCAAAGAGACCGTTGCCACCTGCACCTCTCTTTGCAGGTGGTCGACCACCATCTATCAACACGGAAGGTAAAGAGCCTGAGTTGACATCTATTCCCATTGAGGATGGCAACGACGACGTCTTCGCTCCTAGTATACATGATACGGATCCGCAGAGACCACGGCCAGTATCCCGAGACACGTTCCAGTCAGGGTCGACATTAAGCGGTGATAGCGATGACATGTACGACAAGGAGCATGATCCTGACCTGTACGGTCCGGCTCCAGCAGGCAAGCAAGAGCGACGAGGCGCACGACAAGCACAGATGACCAAGAAGGAAGTTAAGCTCATCAACGGCGAGCTAATTCTGGAGTGCAAGATCCCGACCATTCTCTACTCATTCCTACCGAGAAGAGATGATGTCGAGTTCACCCACATGCGCTACACAGCTGTCACTTGCGATCCAGACGACTTTGTGGACAGAGGGTACAAATTGCGACAGAATATTGGTTTCACTCATCGCGAGACTGAGCTCTTCATCTGCGTCACCATGTACAACGAGAACGAAATCGACTTCACTCGAACGATGCACGGAGTTATGCGCAACCTGTCACATTTCTGCAGCCGTGCCAAATCGAGAACCTGGGGCAAAGACGGTTGGCAGAAGATTGTCGTCTGCATCATTGCTGATGGTCGAGGAAAGGTGCATCCGCGGACGCTTGACGCTCTCGCAGCGATGGGATGCTATCAATCTGGAATTGCCAAGAACTTGGTCAATCAGAGAGAAGTCACCGCACACGTATACGAATATACGACACAAGTCTCTCTTGATGCAGATCTCAAATTCAAGGGTGCAGAGAAGGGTATCGTGCCTTGTCAGGTCATCTTCTGCATGAAGGAAAAGAACGCGAAGAAGCTGAACAGTCACCGTTGGTTCTTCAATGCTTTCGGCAGAGCTCTGAATCCGAACGTCTGCATTCTGCTTGACGTTGGAACCAAGCCGGGTGACGATTCACTTTACCATTTGTGGAAGGCTTTCGATCGAGACTCGAACGTTGCAGGTGCAGCTGGAGAAATCAAGGCCGCAAAGGGCAAGGCCTGGAGTGGACTCTTAAACCCACTTGTCGCATCTCAGAATTTTGAGTACAAAATGTCGAACATCCTGGACAAGCCGCTCGAATCCGTCTTTGGCTACATCACCGTGTTGCCTGGTGCACTATCAGCCTACCGGTATCATGCACTGCAAAACGACGAGACTGGTCATGGCCCGCTTAGTCAGTACTTCAAAGGCGAGACCCTTCATGGCCAAGATGCAGATGTCTTTACCGCCAACATGTATCTGGCAGAGGACCGTATCCTCTGTTGGGAGCTGGTAGCCAAGCGAAGCGATCGATGGGTCTTGAAGTACGTCCGTCAAGCCACTGGAGAAACAGATGTGCCAGACGCAGTACCCGAGTTCATCTCACAACGTCGAAGATGGCTGAATGGTGCATTCTTCGCCGCTGTCTACTCGCTTCTGCACTTCAAGCAAGTCTGGAAGACCGACCACACCATCGCTCGAAAGATACTCCTCCACGTGGAGTTTGTCTACCAATTCGTGCAGCTACTCTTCACCTTCTTCTCGCTCGGCAACTTCTACCTGACCTTCTACTTCATCGCCGGCTCACTTGCCGACAAGAAAGTCGATCCCTTCGGCCACGGCATCGGCAACTTCATCTTCATCATCCTCCGCTACACCTGCGTCATCACGATCATGGTCCAATTCATTCTCTCCATGGGCAACCGACCGCAAGGCGCGAAGAAAATGTTCTTAGCCTCCCTCATCGTCTTCTCGGTAATCATGGTCTACAACACCTTCGCAGCAATCTACATCGTCGCCCGCCAACTCTCCGACAGGGCAGACGTGAATTTCGGTAACAACGTCTTCACAAACCTCATCGTATCCACCTTGTCCACTGTCGGCCTCTACTTCCTCATGAGCTTCATGTACCTCGATCCATGGCACATGTTCACCTCTTCGGCTCAATACTTCGCCCTGCTTCCCTCATACATCTGTACTCTCCAAGTCTTCGCTTTCTGCAACGCCCACGACGTCACATGGGGAACCAAAGGCGACAACGTCATCAAAAAAGACCTCGGAGTCGCCACTACCAACAAAAATGGCACTGTCGAGTTAGACATGCCTTCCGAACAACTCGACATCGATTCAGGATACGACGAAGCTCTCCGCAATCTCCGTGATCGTGTCGAAGTCCCTAAACCCGGGATTTCGGAATCTCAGTTGCAGGAAGATTACTACCGTGGTGTGAGAACTTACGTCGTCATCGTTTGGATGACCTGTAACGCCATTCTCGCTATGGGTGTCAGTGAGATTTATGGGAATACCGACGTCGGACAGAACTACTACCTCAAATTCATCCTGTGGAGTGTCGCTTGTTTGGCTCTCTTCCGAGCTTGTGGATCTTCGGCTTTCCTGGTCATCAATGTTATCCATTCGATTGCGAATGGGAAGTTGAAGTGGAAGAGTCGGAGTTCGAAGGGTAGCAGCTCTACGGGTGGGAGTAGCAAGTTCGGGGGTAGGAGTGTTGGGGTTTGGAGTAGTAGGTTGAGTATGCCCGGTTGGATGAGTAGTTCGGGAAGTTGGGTTAGTAGTAAGGTTAGTTCTTGGACGCCGAGTAGTATTGGGAGTACACTTGGACGATGATTGAATGTAGCATCCAGCTTGGAAATTCATGGCGTTTTGGGGGTTGGAGACGGGAATGAATGGTGGACATGTACAGCATGCATGCATCACTAGAACTTGCACGAGTTATGTGGTGTCTTAGATAGTTTTTTGTATGATACCCTTTTCACGCCAGCAAAGTCAAGATTCTGCCTTCAAGGACAGTGAAGACGCTCTATCACAACGCAGCTTGACTACTCCGCCGAGAATTGTTTGAGGGAGTATTGGCTTGCAAATTGTGGTCTACCAACCCCATATCACATCGGTATTTGCCACACATAAGCTCGACATGTTTCGCATGCCTCACGAGTGCCAGGTCTTGTTGCGAGAACTTCCTCTGCAAGAGCTGTCGCACGGCATCTCTATCCTTTTCGTCTAGCTTGATATCGTCCATTCGCTTGGGATCTGCTTTCCTGCCAGCGTTTTCGATATGCCCATCCTCTTGTCCAGACCACGCCAGCACCTTTTGTGCAGAGGCATAGATCTGCTCCATCTGAGACACATGGTACTGCTTCTCGTCCTCATCGCGCGGATTCACACAAACGGCATTCACCCAGTATCGGTCTTGGTCTTGCGTATCGCCGTGCTTCTGTATAGCACTCAATGCGTCCCATACCGGCGCAGGTACCATACGTGTGCGCCCATGTAAGGTCAAGCTCTTGCTTTCTCCATCAGAGTGAGGGCATGATAGCACCGTGTATTGTGCCTCGCTGCTTGAGAAGTTCTCTTGATGCTCCAGTGTCAAGTGGATGTCTGAAGGCGTGCTGAGAGGATGGAAGCGAACTAGGCGTATGGCGCTTCTGGTTAGGTAGGTGTATTGGAATAACATCCTTCTGTGGATCGAGACTGTAGGGCCGGCCACGCCATGGACTTTCCTGGGATGCGGTCTGATTCTTTAATACGTCGGCGTCGGCATCATCCTCATATGCACGCTCCTGTGTGGTGTTGCGCGTATCGCCCTGAGGGTGTTGTGAGAGTGAAAGCGCGCCCCACCAAGTGTCAGCAGCCACAGCCAAAGCTGCATTTCCATACCACGTTTCAACTCACCACTCACCACTCACCTTCCCCTCCCTCTCCGTCCTTCATATATCCCTGCTACTTGATACCACGCTTCTCACGCTCACGGCACTTCGCTCATGTGCAGATGCAGGCAAGAGCTGTCGCGGCCTGCGATCCTACCCTCCGACATGACCTTTCACCCATTGGACGAGCCGGGAATGGAGTCGTGGACGCTTAGGACGTAACAGGAGCCTGGAGGCAGCCCGGGACGCCGATTACCGCATGCAAGAGCCCAACCTCTACAGCATCTGGTCACGAATGTTGCCACGATGGTATTGAGCTGCCATTCTTACACGTCCATGGGAAGTCCACATGACCGTCGTGCCAGATCAGGATGTGTCTCAACATAGCAGCGAGCCTAGGCTTTCAGAAGCGTGTAGCGTATGTCCTCCTTATACGGAGACGAAGACCAGCCATGAGAAGGCAGGAGTGTCCCGATCAATGAATGGCTTCCTGCATGCGAGCTGTCCTGAGATTCGTCCCGTTCAACGCATGTCTTGCAGTCAGAGTTACTGCCATTGAGCTGGGACGTCAAATCCGAGCCTGTTCGAGCACCTACTGAGACACATTGGCGACCTCAAGACGATACATATAAGCAAACCAACCAACACAAGCGCGATCTCAGCTGGCATGAAGTATTTATCGACAACACATATGGATGGCAGAGCAGAGTGCCATAACAGTCCAGCTTTGGGACAGGTTCGGCATCTTAACTTCATGTCTAACTATTCTTGACACGCACTTCCCAGGTTGTCACCATCCTGGTTCGGAACACCTCACGACCAGTCGAGACCTCGTTCGTTTCATTACGTTTATACAGGATCGTGGTGAAGGCTCTCGCTTTCATTTGATACACTTGGCCTCTCTGTCGCAGCCGCCCTACTGTTATTATCGCACACATTTGCGCCCAGCAACTTAGCAGCAAAAGGCCCCTCTTCAAGACTCTAGCCGAACATGTGTCGATCGGCGCAATTTGCTGCTGGCCTCCCGCCATCAACGACGAAGGCGGCCAAGACCGTGAAATTGTCCGAATGCGATCTGGGATCTTTCCTGGGCCGGTTGGTCTGTCCAATAGTGGATGGATGCTAGATTACCTCATGCATACCCGTCCTTCCCGCACCACGTTAAACCGCCAAGAGACATGGAGAAGAAAAAGCCTAATGGCCGCTTGAGCCAACTTCATTAAACTATCACCACAACCCCAAGGCCTGTTGGTGTCGAACAACACCCGCTGCCCGCGGTTGTGTAGGGGCCGTAATACGCTGTCCAATATAGGTAGGTGAGGCCCTCCCTGCGCGCGCGCGATGTTCTCGCTGTCACTGCCGTCGCTCTCTACCAACACACCCCCCAAGTCATTCGCTGTACACGATCGTCCGCTTCACTCATTCAGCGGCTTTCGACCACATCGCCATCATGGTATATTACACGGCAGCGGCACTCCTCGGGTTGGCCGTTTCAGCCAGTGCTCACGGCGCGCGCCACAACCACGCAGCCCTTCACAAGAAAGGTGTCGAGCAAGCACCAGAGCCTTATGGTGCTCCGGTGCAATATGTTACCCCAATTCCCGTGGCCTCAGCAGCACCCGATGCCACCTCGTGCGAATGCACTACCTACACGACTGTCTGGTACGGCCCACCAGTTCTCGGACCAGGGCCTACTGTTGCCCCAAACACTACAACCGCAACATCTTCCACTGCAAGTGTGCCTTCGATACCTGTCACGACCTCCACCACCAGGGAGACCCCAAAACCAACCACACCGGCTGCGCCTGAGACGCCCAAGTCTCCAGTGTCTCCTCAGGCGCCTCAGGCTCCTCAGGCCCCTCAGGCCCCTCAGGCCCCTCAACCACATGGACCTCAAGGCTACAGTGGATCATCAGGAGGTGATGTGAACCACGACGGTAAGGATGATTCTGCGTATGGTGTTGGAACCATCACGCCAAATGGGAACCAATGGGCAATGACTTACACTCCATATTCTGAGGGTGGTGGTTGCAAATCGGCGGATGAGGTCAACCAGGATGTTGGGTCGATCAAGCAGAAGGGTTTCACCACTGTTCGCATCTACGCCACTGACTGCTCCGGCTTGATTAATGTTGGAAATGCTTGCAAGCAGCACGGAATGAAGCTCCTTGCCGGCATCTTCATTGATTCTTCTGGTCTAGGCAAGGCTCACGAACAACTCAACGAGATCGCCAACTGGGGCAAGCAAGGCAATTGGGGCATCGTGGAGATGGTTGTTGCAGGCAATGAAGCTATATTTCAGGGCGCTATCTCTGCACCTGCCCTCGCTGGCTTCCTTGGTGAAGCCAAGAGCGCTCTGAAGGCTGCTGGCTACGGCGGTCCTGTCACCACCACCGAACCAGTCAACATCATCCAGGCCAACGCTGGCACTCTTTGCCCAGCCGTGGACGTCGTCGGCGCCAACATCCACCCATTCTTCAACGGAGAACATTCCGCTTCGCAAGCCGGAGATTTCGTCGCAAGCCAAATGGCTGACCTTGCGAAGGCCTGTGGCGGTAACAAGCCAGTCTACAACCTCGAGACCGGATGGCCATCAGGTGGTCAACCAAACGGCAAGGCTATCCCCGGTGTCGCTGAGCAAAAGGCCGCCATTGACTCCATCGTCGCCAAGGCTGGTGCCAGGTCTGCCATCTTCTCGTTCCAAAACGACAAGTGGAAGTCACCTGGCCAGTACGGTGTCGAGCAACACTTTGGATGCTCCTCTCTCTTCTCCTAGAATACGGACAAGAGACGAGAAGAAAACTCTGTGTGTGCTGCGCCGTATCAAAGAGACCGGAATTTTAATGTCTATTAACGACGAGCGACGAGAGATCATCATTAAAATTTTTCGAACATCTTTTTGCCGAAACGCACGAAGCAAAGGTGGTTTCAGCTTGTCGGCGAGGACGAAGAGGGGGTTATCTGCTGCTAATGAGGATTTTGCTGCTGCTGCTGCTAGGGGGTATCTGAAGTTTTTGGATGTGATGGATTGGTTGTACCTTACCTTTCGGGCTGTATATAAACTGATCCATACAGATAGGTACCCTTTCTGTCAAGGTATGCTTTTCCACCACAACATGAAGTGAAGGTTGAGATGTTTTTCTTTTATCTGTTGGTACTCTACTACTGCTTGTCTCCTTCACATTGTCGTTTTACAACTCCTTATCGAAAAGGAACCTTCCTAAGAAACTCGATGCGATTCCTGTAATCTGTATTCCCCGGCTTTAAATCCTTTCCCTTACCTTTCCTTCTTTTTACCTCCTACCTTGTATCTTACCCTTAACCTAACCTCCTCTAACTTTAGGAAATCCTTTCCTATACTAAAAAAAATATATCTCCTCGCTAAAGAAGAAATCCTAACTTCGAATATTACCTCCCTAGGTCTAACCTAACCTCCTCTACTATTTCTAAATTCTTTACTAGGCTAAAAGATCTTAAAAAATACCTACCTTCGAAATCTCTTCTTTATTATTGTATAAACGTCCTAAATTTATAGGTAGTATAGTCCTATCTCCCTCTTTTACGTTTTAACTTTTAATAAAGTAAAAAACTTCTAGTTATACTAATCTTCTCTTTATTATATCTTCTATTAGTATCTATTTCTATTCCTTCTACTAATACTTTAATTTAAGTATATATTTCTTCTTTCTTCTTGTTTTTCTTCTATAGGAATTAGAAAAAAAGTATCGTTTCTTAAAACGTTTATTTATAGTACGCTATAAGTTTTTTAGTTTTCTAGTAGTAGTACTTTAATTATATTCCGACTCCTACTCCTATTCCTCCTATACCGAGTAGCTACTAGGAAGCGAGGAGCGATAACGGGAGAGTAATAAGAGGATAGGAGATATAGAGAAGAGAGAGATAGTTAGGTAAGTATATTTATATAAGATTTTATTAAAAGAAGGGGGATTTTGTAAGTTTTCTAGTAGGAATTTTTTTTCTTAGTAGGATAGTATTAGTATAGGGGAGTTCGTAGGCGAGGTTGCTTTTGTTATATATAGATTATATATTAGTTAATCTGCTTATATAAATAGGGAGGGAGTCGGTATTTTAAAGAGATATATGTAAGAAGGGTATATTAGCAGGTAGATAGGGTAGTAGTAGGTACGAGTAGTATTCGATAAGGATCTAGAAGGAGAGGGAGGAAGGCAGGAGAGTTAGCCTAACGCTAAGCGCTAAGCCCTGCCTAAGGCATCGAGACCCTAGCTTTACTCGGCCTAGTTACATGCTAATTACATATAGCCTCTTTAGCCCTAATATACGCTTCCCTTCTAAAGGCCGCGCCCTCGTAGCCTGTCAATTTCGACCTCCATTGATGCTAACTTAGCAAATCTAATAGACTGCTTAGCTCGCGCTAAATTAAACACTTAACTACCTAATTATATAACTATGTTAAACCTTACTTTCCAATACAACGTCCAACTCTAACTGCGCTATCCTTATATATAATGAAGTGAAGGGATATAAAGCTACAAGAATTAAGGACTATCGACTAATTATAATACGAGCGCGTCTTCCCTACTATAATAGGTAGACGTACGAGGTATTGCAGCACTGCCTCCGTTCTAAGTAATGTTGTACGAGTTCTTTGCGTCTACTCTAATAGACCTAGAAATGTCCGCTCCGAGGGTTTGTCCGCTTCCGAGGGTTGTTCTTATTATTACGAGGGCTATTATTTACTGTCGTAGTTTCACTAGCCTAAATTGGTTAGGTTTGGTAGCCTTTAAGTATCAACCAATTATATCTTTTCAAAAAACTCAGTTCTTCTAGTTTCTATAGGTAAAGGCTATTATAAGTATAGTAGTAGAGGTTCGCCTCGCTTAAAGGGTTAGATAGATCGAGGAGTAATCTATTGTCCGTAAGATCGACCCCGGCTAGCTTAGCTCTATAGTTTTGCCCTTAGTTAGTTAGTCTATTAGTCTACTTAACCTTTTAAGCGGCTTAAAGTTTTGACTCGGCCTTAAAGTTTTAATCAAACCTTTAATAGGCTTAAAGCTTTAATCAAAGTTTAATTAAAGGTGCCTTAGGCTCGTAGTGCAGGTAAGGTTATATCTATAGGCGTAGCGACAACAGCAAGTAATGTTGACAATAGCAGCGCTAGTCGTCTTAGCGCCAACTTTACCTTGCTTTCGATTTCCTTCTTCGACTAATAATATACTCTATAATACCGTTACTAATATAGCCGCGCTAGCCGCCGGCGTACTACTAGCTCGTAGCGCGACACTATTACCTTTATTACCGTTATTCGCACGCGCGCGTACGTCGCCCTTGTCGAACGCTTAGGTCTCGAGGCCTCGATCGAATAAAGAATAAAAGGGGGACCTATAGGGCGCATTAGGGAAGAGGTAGAATCCTTGAAAGAGCAGGCGATTAGTTGATAGTTATAGCGCGTTTGTTGATGCTTAGTGCGCGTTTACTATAGTAGTGTAGTCTTATTGTCCTAGTTTGTCGGCCTCTAATTAGTTAGCTAATAGCATCCCGGGGGTACTATTAATCCCAAGCCTTAGTAACATTACGAGCTTTTGGCCTTCTTCTTGTTCTTTATACTAGTCTAATACTCGTCTAACAACTCAGTTATATCTTTAAAAGAGGCTTTAGCTTTCTACGAGTCCTATTCAGGTAAATAGCCTTACTATCTTAATAGGTACTCCTTCTTACCTTTCCTAGTCCGGTACTATAGGATACGTTCTATAGACTACAGTTCTTCACTATTAGCTAAGACTTCTTCTAACTTAGCAGGTGCTTCGTCGCCTTTACGTTAATAGTATAGCTTAAGGAGGGATATATAGAAGGTGTTATAGATAGTGTAATAGGGTAGAAGCTATAACTAGTAGGCCTGTATGCCCTTCGGTTCTCGGATGCGGAATAGGCTAATGTATCTTAGTGCGAGCTTAGGCCTTGTTTTACTATCGGGTAATAGGTATTTGCGGATGCGGAGGTTCTTTATACTAAGTATAACTATGTCGCCTTGCTTAAAGGTTATTAGAAGGTAGTGTTTGTTATAGTAGGTCTTTTAGTACTCTTAAGCCTTTATTAACTTCTCGGCTATCTTAGTATAGATTTCTCGCATCTTTTAAACCCTCTTAATAGCCGCTAGTGTTTCGGGTACTTAACGCGCTTCCCTTTCCTTACGCTCGGCCTCGAGCGATAGGGGGTCTTGTAGCAGCGTAGGGTTGCTTCCCATTATAGCGAAATAAGATAATACCTTAGTAGATGAGTAGATACTATTGTTGTATACGAATTCGGCTAGTTGTAGGAGATTGACCTAGTTATTAGGGTTCTTATTAATGTAGCTGCGCAGGTACTGCTATAGCGTAGCATTCTGCCTTTCGGTCTAACTATCTGTTTATAGATAGAATACTATAGATAGGCGATGCTTGAGTCTTAGCTATAGGCAAATTTTACTCTAATAATAAGATATAAATGTCGAGCCTCGGTCGGAGACTATCCCTTTAGGGGTCCCCTAATAGGTATAGAAGATATTGTTCTATAGCGCTTCTGCTATATTAATAGCAGTCCAATCTTTCCGCGCCGGGATATATCGAGCGCCCTTAGTAAACCGGTCTACAACGACTAGGATAGCGTTAAAGATGTCTTTGCTTCCTCTTCGCTTAGTAGGGGGAAGACCTATAATAAAATCTATTATAAGCTCTACAAATAGCTTATAAGGGATTAGCAATAAGGACAACTCGCTAAAAGGCTAATGCTTTAGTGCCTTAATACGTTGATATACGGCATACGTGTTTACGTAGTCCTTTATATCCCGCTTACTATTTAGCTAGTAGTATATACGCGATAGTAGCTCGTGCGACCTCTCTATACTATAGTAACCGGCAAGCTTACTATTATAGTGTCGCTTAAGAAGTTCTTGTCTAATCGATTGTTCAGCGGGGATATAGTATCTGCCCTTAAACCTTAAGTAACCTTTGTCGTCGATCGACCAATTACTCTTACTAGATCGAGTCTTTCGCCTACTTATAAGCTTGTCTATACGTTTAGTAGCAAAGGCGTCCCTCTACTAAGCCTATAACAGCTTATCTATAAACGATTAACTATCCCTATTTGCAAGGTCATTTAATAGCACCCTCGCTATTAAACGAGGTACGCATTGTATATATCTAATAGCACTAGCAGCCGGATTAACTGCATTAGTGCTTTAATCGCTATTACTGTATATAGCGATATCGACTAGGGAGTTATTATAACTTCTCCTATCTGTGTCCTTAGCTCTTGCCTTAATACGTACTATTAATATAGTAAGAGCATTAACATACTTCAAGCCGTCGCGGAGTCCGGTAAGCCGCTTATCCTGCGCGTACTTATTAATAATACGAGCTATAGCAATCTTATACTGCAGGGTTAGAAACAATGAATTAATAGATTGCTAAGTCCCGCTATCGTAATTAGGTCGCCTCGATAGGCTATTAGTAGGGTTGCTTACGCCTAGCCGATGTAATATATTAAAATTAAACCTAGCGAGGTAGACGGCCTATCTAGCCTGTCGACCTATAACCCTAGTAACCTTCGTAATTCCACGGAGGTTGTTATAGTCCGTATAGACCTAAATGGTATACTAGGCACTATCGAGATAATAGCGCTAGTGCTTAAAGGCTTTAACAATAGCTAAGAGCTCTTACTCGTAGGTCTCGTAGCGACGCTTAGTATTAATTATCTTCCTCGAGAAGAAGGCAATTAGGTGCTAGTAGTGGTTACTGTCTAACTGCTAGGATATTATAGCTAATATAGCGAACTGTAAAGCGTTAGTCTCAATCCGGATCTGCTTATTTAGTACAAAATAGTATAATAGAGGGACTTTAGTGAATCGCTTCTTTAAACCGTTAAAAGCGGCTTGTGCTCTATTAGTCTATTTGAACTCTCTAGTTAGGTTGGCCTTAGTTTTAGTGAGTTCCGTTAGTAGCATTACGTGCCGCGAGTAACCTTCGATAAATCGACGGTAGAAGTTAGCAAAACCTAGGAATAATTAAAGCTCTTTAATGCTAGTAGGTGTTAGCTATTTAGTAATAGTCTTAATTCGATTAGGATTAGCCTTAATACTATTAGTTGATACGATGAAACTAAGGAAGGCTACCTCCTTAGTAGCAAAGGTGCATTTAGAAGGCTTGTAATATAGTCTATAGGCCCGTAGGCGGTTAAGGACCTTTCGTACTACAGCCTAGTGTTCTATAATGTTAGGTGAGTGCGTATAAACTAGGATGTTATCTAGGTAAACTATACAGAGGTAATCTAATAGGCCTAATAGGGCCCGATTGATATAGGACTAGAATGTTGTAGGGGCGTTTGCTAGCCTAAATAGCATAACTAGATACTCGAAATAGCTATAGCGGGTACGGAAGGCTGTTTTCCATTTATTACCCTTACGGATACGGATGCGATAGTATGCATCCTTAATGTCTAATATAGTATAGTAGTAAGCACTAGAAAGGCGATCGAGGGTCTTATTAATAAGAGGAAGTAGACAGCGATCTTTAATAGTGACAGTATTAAGCCTACGATAATCGACATAGAGGCGCAGGCTACTATCCTTCTTTAGTACGAACAGGATAGGGGCACTAGTAGGGCTGTTACTGTACCGTATCCGGCTATTAGCTAGGTTTTCCTCTAGGTACTTACGTAACATAGCAAGCTCTCGTTTACTAAGGTTATAGAGGGGTCTAAAAGGGACCTCTTTACCCTCTATAATATCAATCTTATAATCCGTCTCTTTAAATATAGGCAATGTCGATACTAAGTGGTATTTGAACATATTAATGTAGGTCTCTCGAATAGGTTTTAGTATACGCTTAAGCTATTTAGGATCTATGCTATTAGGGGGTACAGGTTTATCGTTATTACTACCGAGCAGGTCGGCAGTCGGATTAGCTAAGGCGGAGGCTAGTGTTAGGTTGCTAATAAATAGGACCCTAATATTATTAGGACACTCGCTAATATCGATGTGTTTAATATCCTCTTTCCTAGCGATTCTAAATCGCTATTGTTAACTGCCTAAGTCTATAACTATAGTATAGTACTTAAGAATAGGGTTGCTAATAACAATGTCGGATAGGAGGCTGTTTATGTCTACCGCGTAGGTAGTAAAGTTTAGTAGGCGTTCATTTCCGAGGTCGTCCTTTAGAACTATAGGAATATAGTAGGCTCTATAGGTTAAGTGCCGAGCGTTATTAAACTAAGCAAGGGTTAGTAGGTTAGTCCTCGGCAGTTATCGAAGGTCTAATTGCTTAGCTAGGCGATAGCTAATAAGGGCGCTAACTGAATTTCCGGGGTCTAGCATAACCTTTACCTTATAGTTAGTGTCGGGCCTAGATATAAGACAGGTACGTGTAATGGCTAGCACAATGTCGATAGTCTTACGCCGTACGAGGCTAACAGTTAGTGCGGCGCTTACTCTTTTTTCGAAGGACCGATAGGGGTAGTATTAGCGGCTGAAAGGTGCTTACGGTGCTTAGCGGCAGTACGGTCGATTCGGGCCTAATCCTTAGGTTTATCGCATTAGCCTAGTAGATAGCTAGTGCTATTATAGTTAAAGCACTTCAACCCGGTTAGTAGACTGCCGTAGCTATTGTTATTGTTAGTAGAGCGGTTAGCATTATAGGGATACGAGCCCCTTCTACGGCCCCTATCGCGGCCTCCTCTATATAGCCGGCGGCTACGGCCTCTTCTACGGTTATTGTTACTATTCCTATTGTTAGCATTGTTGTTATAGTAGGAACCTTGGTTTCCTCCGCGGCTACTACGATTGCCGCGGTTAGTACTAGCTAGTCGGATCCTCGATTCTAGTCGTTATTAGAGCTAAACAGCCCGTTCGGCTGTTTCTACTTCGACTATGAATTGAATGCGTGTTAGGTTAGCCTGTTCGAATATACGACGGCGGTCCAATTTAAGGACTAATTCCTATCGCAATTTAGGGCGTATTTCGGAAATCTAGATAGAGTCGGTCTTAGCTAGCAAATCGTCCTTAAGGGTCTTTAAATAGGCCTTAAATGAGCGAGCCGATTGATTAGTCTTTTGTTTAGCTCGAAGGTATTAGTCCTAAGCGTGTTGTTGCCTTAGTATAGGGTTTCTAAGGGTGTCTAGCATAATAGTCTTATAGGTCTGCTACTAAACAGCGGTCTAATTAGTAAGGGAGTCGAAATAGTTATCCTAGGTGCGCTTTGGGTCTCTATTAATGTATTATATAGCATAGACGACTAACGAGTAGTCGTCTAGAAGGGCCCTTAGCGCGTTTCGCTAGTTAAGCTCGTAGTTACGGATATAGTCGTTGTATTGTTTCCGACTAGAGCTATTAAATACGGTATAGTCCTTAAGTTTAGCATCCTTCTTTTAGACTAAAACAGATAGAGAGGAAGGCCCTACTATTAGTTCAATATTAGTCGCTAGGGCTTCTTATAGGCGACGAATTTCGAGGAGATTATCCTTTAGCTATTGTTCCTAGCGTAAGGCAGTAAGCCTGTTTTAAGTGGCTTCTTAAAGTCTCGCTACTAGCTAGGGGCTAAAGGCTAGCTAGCTATATCGTCGATTGACAATGTTGTTAAGTATATCGTTAACAGGCAATTCTAGGTCGTCGCCTAGAACTATAGGTTCTTCGGTAGGCCTAGTAGTAGGCTCTTTAGCAGGCACCTTAGCAGGTGCTTTAGTAGGCACTTTAGTAGGTGCTGTGCTACTAGCGTTATTATTGCTAGCGCTGCTAGCGGCAGCACGGTTGTTGTTTCGTAATAAACCGGCTATTATAAGGGGCGATACTAATAATGTATTATTAGCCCCTAAGATACGGATATAGCGGAATTAGTGGATATCGGCTTAGTATACTTGACTTAGTATAATAGGCCGTGTAGAAGGCCTTGCTTAATGATTAGTACGGTTGTTTTAATGGAATAGTACGTGTAGGTCCCGTTCTTCGGGCGTAATATAGTTAGATTAGTCTTGTTCGTAGCTATACCGCTAAAAGCTTGAAATAAGGACTATCTAGCTGCTGCCCTTAAAGGGTAGATCGAATACTATATAAGAAGGGTATATTAGCAGGTAGATAGGGTAGTAGTAGGTACGAGTAGTATTCGATAAGGATCTAGAAGGAGAGGGAGGAAGGCAGGAGAGTTGGCCTAACGCCAAGCGCTAAGCCCTGCCTAAGGCATCGAGACCCTGGCTTTACTCGGCCTAGTCACATGCCAATCACGTGTAGCCTCTTTGGCCCTAACAATATACCTAATAGGTAACTCTTAGAGTTAAGTATATTAGACTCCTCGATTCTATACGAAGTGCTCGTTAATAGTATATATAGACAATAGCAAAAAGCTAAGATATTGTTATTATCTAAGCTTTAAATCGAGCTCTAGAGAGGAAGTAGGGCATCGATAATTTATAAATTAGGAATTCTTCTTCATTCAAGATGAAACACACTGCTGCCTACATTACAGATGGAATTTGCAAAACAAAGTGTGCTACATTTCCCTTCATATATAGTTTAGTTGAATCTCTGGGTATGTATATGGCGGGGTATCTTTTGAAAAGAGGAAGTCCAGACTCCAGTCGGCCGCTTCATTGCACAGAATTATACCGGTGAAGTTCCAAGTAGACAGGGATGGGTGACGGCGTTCTGTACGACGGCGGCGTGCCTTGATAATATGGCTGCGCATTGCCCTGAAAGCTGACGCGAGGTTGTGGAGAGTACTGGAAGCTGTGTCGTGGCTGAGGGCTATACTGAAAGCTTTGGCGTGGTTGTAGAGAAGACTGAAAGCTTTGTCGTGGTTGAGGAGAGTATTGGAAGCTCTGTCGTGGCTGGGCAGGTGTGTTTTGGTATTCTACTGGCGGTAGCTGTAGCTCCGAGTTTGGGAAGCCTGGTGAAGGCTCGGCGCTGTTCGCTGAGCTTGAGGAGTGGAGGTCGACTGCACTTCCGAAGTCTAGTCCTGTTTGCATAAAGGTGATTCGTTTGCTGGCGTTGCGTTTTAGACTTCCTTCGCTGTTGTCGATTACGTTTGCTTCTGTCGGAATAGGAGTGTCGGAGAAGCAGACGACTTCTGGGAGATGACGACTGTCGCGTTTGTTCTCCACAGGCGTGGGCGGTCTCGCGACATCCTCTGCAGAGACGACAGGAGGCTGCAGCGTGGCACTGTCGGGTCTTATGGAGGATGTGTCGGGCTTGATGCAGGCGATGTCAGGCTCAATAGAGATGGCACTAGGACGATCTGAGGTTGTATCGGAAATGTCCTTGGGCAATTCTTTGAGTAAAGTAGCGTCGCGTTGCGCGATCCAATCGAGGTTTAAGCTCAGTCGGCCATCACTTGTCTCTATCGCGGTGTCCAAGCGGTAGTTGGGCCCTTCTTCTTGTTGGGTGTCGGTCTTGCGATATTGCATGAATCGCCAAAGCGCTTTCCAACACTGATGTGCGAGCGAACACAAGGCGGTCGTCGTCTCAGTCGTCCAAGCTCTGATACCCATGCTCTAATAGGTTGCTGTGCAAGCGTAGCATCAACGCAGCTTCTTTCTGATATATTCCGAAGCAAAAAGCATTGGACCTGCGTTCTGTACGTTGTTCGTGGGTTTCGTGCACCGCCTTGCACCAATGATCGATAGCGGCTTCGCCGGCGCCGTCTGCTTGTGGGCTGATGAAGAAGAGTATTTTGGTAAGAGACGACGATCGTTCTCTTCTTCTTCTCATCGTCAGCAAGAACGTGTGCAGCAGGACGAGAAGCGGGGGATGGGGAGCGGCGAAAGTGGAAGTGGATCGGTAGATGACTTTCCTCCTCTGCGCAAATCCTGCGACTATGCTGTAAAGATCTGGCTCAATTGTACGATGATCGAGCGTGTATAGACTCTACGCACATCCCTGACTTATCTCGATCGATTGTTTCGAAACGAAGCAGAGGTAGAATCCACAACCCACGGCAAGGCGTCGCTTTATCGCGAGTCTGAGTCGAGGCATCGCGACAAAGTAGAGGTGTTGTTGGTGAGATGCTGCACCCGCACAAATGCATGGCGGTCTAGGCAATGTGATGAGCTTACTTGATGTGAAGGTCAAATGCGACGCCGAAGAAGGCCGACCAGGATGGGTGGCACTGCAGCAGCCAGCAGGCGGGTGAAGGAAATAATTCTTGTCGCAGCTTATCGAGCTTACCTGTGTCATGCAGCAGCTCCGTGTGCATTTCCACATATTATTTAAGCTTCCAACCTTTCCAAGCAGCTTATATGTATGTGCGCTCAACACGGACGGGACTTTCGCGATACCGTCATGTCCATTCTGGAGTGGAAATGTGGGAGCTCGGATGGCCGACGTCCTGGCTCCGAGATGCACCATTGGTGTGGTGATGCTGCTTGTGCAGGTAGAGGCCACACTAGGGCATCGTCCACCTGTCTCGCGCCTGGCCTGGGCAGGAGATGAGTGGGCGTCGTCCATTCCAGCAGGCAGTCTTATTTAATGCATCATTCTTGACGCAAACGGCCAATAATGACATTGGTTGTGTCATGATCGTTTGGAAGGCGGCAGAACGACGTAGCTTCTCGTTCCTGGCAGATGGACGTGGACGTGGCCCGGTCATGATGCATGTCGCTTACGGTTCACCTGCGGAAGTGCTCGCGCGCCGGCTCAGGGCAGCGCAGCGCTTCTGTTTGCCTCCGTTCCTCTGCTCGGCCAGCGGTGCCAGTCGTTCCGTTCCGTTCGTGCTGCGCTGCGCCGCGCGAATTAAGCTCTTCAGCTTCTCAGCACGACAGGCATATCATATCGCGAGCAAGACATTTCCAGTCCACACACGAGCTTTGTCGAGTAGCGTGAAGCGTGAAGCGTGGAGCGTGGAGCGTGGAGGCGCACTGGACAAAGGGTGGGCAGGGCAGGGCAGGGCAGGGCAGATGGCAGGCAGGCGGGTCCGGGAGGCGAGACCTTCGAACGATTGCCCTATGCGCGCTGCCTGTATACATCATCTATGTATAACTTAGACCATGATCATCATGCCATGTTCCAGCAAACGCTACGCGATGCCTGATCAGATCAGTGAATACCGCAGTGGCTGAAACACATGCTTGGATGAGGATTGTAAGCGTGCAGCAAGCGGCGACGCTTTCGTCGTGACCAAGAAATAGCTGGCATTGAGTGCGCAGATGCGGGAGCGTTTTCCAACCAGAAGCTCTGATGCCATGCAATGTATGCCTGCCTGGGACGGAGCTCTGTGCATGCCAGATTGTTAATAGAGGTTTAGCTTCACTTTAGTCTATTGTCGCTTCCTATTGTTGCGCCTTCCTTACTAGCCTTACTATGCCTATTGTCGCGACAAACCTTACTTAGACTTACTATACTTTCGCGCCTTGCCTCGCAATATTCTTCTTCTATCGATACCGATAGCGATAGCGATAGCGATACCGATACCGATACCGATAGTAGCAGCCGCTATAACTAGTATTCCGCGAGACCTTATTCTTAGCGTAGCTTTAGCAGCTTTAGCTTCTTTACTAGTAGCGCACTTACTAGTAGGAGGAGGAGAATATTTATCGTAAGTCGTAAGGCGTATCGCTATAGACTCGCTACTAACTCGCTCTAGACTTCGACGCCCTACGACTATAAATACCTACGATTTCTAGTATTATAGCGCGCAGATATAGTAAGAGCTACTCGATTAAATAGCGATACTAGATAAGAAGAAGGCGGTATTAAATAGACTACGGAAATATAAGGCTACTAGACTTATTATAGAAACGGACTCTAGTAAGCTTGCACTAGCGCTATGCTACTACTATATACGCTCTAATAACTTTGAGTATCGTATACTTAATACTAAGGGCGAGCGTATCTACGCTTATTGTAAGTATAAGGGCAAGTCTAGCTATATAGCTAGTATAGAAGAGGTTAAAGAAGACGATAGAAACAGCGAGCTAGCCGCGATATAGGCGCGAGTCGAGGCCGTAGAGGCAAAGAATACTAAACTAGAGGCAAAGATTAAGGCATTAGAAGCTAGGTTCGATAAGTTAGAAGGATATTGCCTCTCGTAGTTTAAATAGCTTAAGAATAAGGCTATTATTAAGTCTAAGGATATGTATACGATATAGAAGGAGCTATAGCTAAATAGCGATCGCGAGCTACTAGTAGATAATGTTTAAGAAGCGAGTCTATAGCGAGTCTACTACGAGTCTACTATTCTATCTCTTCTTCTTTAGTCGTTAACTGCGCTTTGTCTTCTTAGCCTCTCCGCCGCTATTAGCCTCTCTACCGCTATTAGCCTCTCCGCCGCTATTAGCCTATCTACCGCTATTAGCCTGTCTACCGCTATTAGCCTGTCTATTAGTAGGTTGCTAATCGCTCGACCCTTTCGAAGTAGGCGTACCTCGCGGTATACTCGCGGTAGTATCGCCGCTTAAGTTAATTATCTCGGGCGGCTAATTCGTATCGATAACCTTCTTAGTCTATAGCTTTTCTTTCTTAATCTTAATGCTGTTAACTACCTTTTGCTAACTCGCTATATTACTCGCACTAGTACTCGTAGTAATAGTACTTAACCGATGTTTCCGCTTTTATTATTACTGCTTCTCCTGCTTAGTCTAGATATAGAGCTTAATCTCGTAGACTAATAATAACTTTGTTGCTAGTTTATAGACCGTTAAAGCCTATCTAAGTAATCGAAGCGCCTTACTTACTAGCTTCTCTAGTTAATTAGTTGTTTTACTAAAGTCTATATAGAGGAAGTAGTTAAAATAGTCCTAGGTCCGATCGATACTACTATCTAGTAGCTTGCAGGCGTTAATCCGGTCGACAATCTAGTCTATAAATGTTATCTCGGCTTCGAGGAATTCTTAGTTAGTCTAGGTATCCGTAATAGTAGTATATAGGGTAGGTTCACTATAGAACTATGTCTTAGTTGTACTCGTAAGCTTAACTTCTATATGCTAAGTATAGATCAAATAGCGGCAATAGTATCCCTATACTTTTAGGTCTAATAAAGCTAAAGCTAAAGCTAAAGCAGGTATTAGTAGACGTTGCGAGAGGCTCCGAGATCTAGCATTTAGTATTCGAGTTACTAGCTTGTACTAACTAGCAGTATTACGTATAGTATTAGCCGCCTTAGGTATAGAAAGGAACGCATTAAAGCCTCGTACTATACTCGCGGAGCTACTCGCAGTAGCGGCGGCTACTAATTGCTCGCGAACAAATTGCTCGCTTAGTAGATCGGGATTAAGAAGGCCGCATTATAAACAGAATCGGTATTTACTATATATCTTTATATAGTCGACGCCTAATTTAGTGCAATAGGTGCCCTAATTAGTAGCTATTATTAGATTAGTAGGTATTATTAGATAAATAGAGGTAGAAATAGTAGAGGTTTAAGAAGGTTATAGATAAAATCGAACTAGAAAAAGCGACTCGCTATATACTCGCGGCCGGCTCGTAGATCGCCGATTAGTATAAATTATTTACAAACTTAATTATCCTAGCTTCCTAATTCCGCGCCGCCGCTAACTAACTACGTGCTGCTAATAGCTTATCTAACTCTATTAGTTCCGGCTCTAACCCTGCAGCTATATACTCCCTAGCTAGCCGTCGAAGAAGTAAGTAGGTAGAGCGGTAAAGGCGCTCTATATTATCGCTATTCTCGCTACTACTTACTAGATACGAGAAGCTATGAATCTATAATACTATCTAACACTAAGAAAGCGTAGCCTCGGGTAGGTAGGCTTTAAGATCTAGGAAGTAGCGAGTCTATTAGCGAGTCTATAGCGAGTCTGTAGCGAGTACTATAGAATCTAATATATACCGAATCCTTAAAGGTCTTCCTCTATATTATTAAGTACGCCGTTAGGTATAGGAATACCTTAATAAGAATGCCCGCTTAGCTCTAGATAATAGTATAGAATATGCGGAATACCTAGTACGACGTATAGTCGATTAGCCTACTTCCTAATCCGATAGCTATTCTAGAGGTAAACAAATTCGAGGACTTTATAGCGTATAATTAGTATATAGACTATAAGGAAGGCAATCCGATCGGCTAGTAATTTAGTATCGTATAGTAACTCGCGTAGCAACTCGTAAAAATAGCCCCTCTAGCTATTTAATACGGGTACTTGCTAGCGCTACTATACCTCGATCCGCTAGTTTATCTTACTCGTACTATATTTAAAGCAGTCTTCGAAAGCTAGTAGTTCTAGTTCTAGTTCTAGTTCTAGTTCTAGATCCGGGTTACTACGAGTCGTAAGGCGAGTCGTAAGGCGAGTCGTATAGTAAGCGTCCGCGGCTAGAATCGTTTCCGCCCTACGGTCTAATCGGATAATCTATAGCATTATACTACTATTCTTAATCGTTGCAATATATTAAGCGAGTACGGATACAGCTATCCGGCTAGTAATGCCTATATAGATCTAGATAATATAACGCGAGTAAATATTAATCGCTACGTAGATCTATATCCCTTAATGCTCGAATTTATAGTAAGTATCTATTAATATTGCGTAACTAGGGCCGGGTATAATAATCGCTCTATAGTACTCTCGCGCCCGCTCGTAGCGGACTCGCAACCCTTTAGGATTTAGTAAGGAAGCTATACGATATAGCCGATCTCTGCTAATAATGTTGTATTTAGACCTAATATAGGTATATAGATGCCGTCGGCCGAAGGACTCTACCGTAGACTTCTCGAGCTCTTCCTATAAGACCTTTACTATCTCCTCTTCCGCTTCTATCTATCTATCTCGCGATAATACCTTCTTTAATTTAAGCTTTTAACGTATCTATTAATATCTCCGCTAGCTAATATTAAATCTATCTATCTTTAGTACTTTAACCGCTTCTTTATTAGTTAAGCGTAAAGCGGAGAAGATATATATAACTCGGATCTTTAGTACCTCGATATTATTAACTCGGTTATAGTAAGTATAATAGCTATAATTAACCCTCTATTCCTTAAGCCTCCGATAAAGCGTAGAAAGAGCTATCTAGTAACTAGTCTCTTATATAAGGTACTATAGGATTTCGCCTTATATAGTACCGCTATTAACTTATAAGGTTATCTAAGCCCTCTATAGCGAGAGATCGATACGTAGAGGCATTTTGCGAGTTAACAGCGAGTATAGTACGAGGGCAAACATAGAAAGTTGGTCGTAGAGGTAGGCTAGTAGAGGAGGCGGTAAGAACCTCCATTGACAATCTGGTATATATGGGCCTCCCTAGCCTGGAAGCTTGCGCGTCGTTCGTAAGCGCAAGAAAAACGAGCACTTGGGCGCCGCTCCGCCACGGCCACGTCAGGCTCCGAGTGCATAGTTCTAATCTGGCCGCGCGACGTCCCTTGTCACCGTACCACTATCATAGTCACACCACGACCATCTCTTCTCCCACCAGCTCCCCTCCCTTCCTGATTGTATACTGTCGCTCGTTTTACTTCCTGCCAGAGCCTTATTCTACCCCATCTGCCATCTGCCGCGCCTGTGCGACTCGACCAGCGCACCGACCAGCCCTCGACCCACGCCCACCCCAGAAAGCATCCACCACACCGACCGGCTCCTCCTCCGCCTCCGTCGACGAGACCCACAGCAATCGATCACCATCTCATCGTCAATCGCCATTCGATCACCGCCGCCTTCACCGCCACTCGCCGCCACTGCCACCTGCACCTGCGACGGTACTCACAATCATGGCGGACCCACGCCCGCACAGTCCGCACACATCGGCGTCGCGCCCTCATGCCTCCCGCTCCCGCACCTTCTCATTCCGAAGCGATAAGAGTGGTGCATCCCAGCCCAAGGAGCACTTGGTCGAGTCGCCCAAGGAGAAGCAGCGTCGGGACAGCATTTGGAAGTCCACAAGCAAGGCAAATCCCAACGCTGCACTCGTCGAAGCACAGCCCGGAGGTGCGTTTGTCCTGCATCGACCAAGTTTCACCCACCCTCCCTCGCCCGAACGACAGCTCTGCTCCTCACACACTCGTTACATCCCGCACTGTTGCTCTATAGCTTGCTTGCTTTATATATCTCATTGCTTGTTTGATCTTTGAACAATGCCTCTGCCCATGCCAAACGCCCTACAAGCCATTCTCGCTAACCAGCCTTCGCCCTCAGCCAACGCACTCTTCGAAGAGAGTACGATAACACCCCTGCGAGGTATACAACACAAGGATGCATACGGCAACCCAATCAGTGAGTACCAATCCTGCCACCTCTCTGTCTTTCCATACTGATCCCCTCCCAGCCGATCCGGATTTGGCCAACCCGACTCGCCCGCGCATGGAACGTCCCTTAGACACCATTCGATCCTTCGAGGCTGCCATCGACTCTGGTTACAAGAGAAGATCAACCTTTATGCGTTCCGGTGCGTCTATGCTATACCACTCGCGTCGGAACGATATCCGTGCTGATAAGCTACACAGAGTCGGATAACCAGATGGGAGGAGGAGGAGGAGGAGGATATGCCGCATCTGGGAGGAACAGCTCATATGGTGAGTACACGCACAGCTTCAGACGTATGTCGGTCGCCAACCGTCGAATGTCAGGCTTCGGAGACGGCCCGAGTCCCAATAACCGCTATGCATACGGGAACGGTGGCGGCGGTGGCTATTACGGTGGCCAACGAGACAGCCATGCCTCGGCCGGACCCAGTGCTCGCCCACGGTATGGACGAGGCATGCAGTCCGATCCCATGATGCAAGCTCGACCATACCCGCCACAACACGGCTACCAGCACTCCCAAGACACCATGAACACTGCACACGGCTCCGACAGCACCGGACCTTGGAACAGCGGGACGGATCCAAGCAGCGAAAACAGCTCAATCGACAAGAACTATCAGAATGGACAGCAGAATGGCTATCACAATGGCTACGGTGCAAACGGATTTTCCGGTCCCATCCCAGAAGAGGGTGGGGCCTACCCTGTGAAGCCAGGCTACGGTGGAGCGCCTGCAGTACTGCCACCGAACGCGCGTCGACCCATTCCGCTTGGGAATTCGGACGGCATGCCTGTCATGCCAAACAGTGGCCTGCCGTCAGCCAAACGACCAGAACCTGAGAAGAGAAAGAGCTGGCTGAAGCGTCGATTTAGCAAGAAGGATTGATTCCTCCAGCTTCTGCTTATTGCTATGCACTGCGTTCGGCGTCTCGTCATTCCTAATGCATAGCGTTGGGCAGA